TCCTTATTTTCAAGTTTTTTTTAAATTCATTTTGCATTCAGTGAGGGCATGTTAATATAAAGGGAACCAAAATGTAAAATATTGGAAATTCAAAGGAAATAAAAGAACAGAGTTCCAATGTCCCCTGCATTGCACATATTTTATCTATCCAAGGGCAATAACTAAATAAATGGGGAATGTATCCATAGGACACAGATGATGCCCCCGCTTGCATATCATATAAAGTTATAAAGGGACATAACTAAGGAACAGTAAAAGTGACGCTACCCAAATTTGTACTTGATCTGAGTTTTGTGGTAACAAGTATTGTGTATAAGTCTCATATCATTTGGTTGAGGCTAACTTAAGTTAGAGAACAGAATTGAGTGATTTTTCCATTTGTAAAGGGACATAACACTAGAACGGTAAAAGTGACACCACCAAAATTCAAACTTGATTTGTATTTTGTGGTAATTAGCATTGTGGATAAGTTTCATATCATTTAGTTGAGGCAAACTAAAGTTAGAGAACAGAAATTAAAAAAATTCAGCAATTTGTATGTTTATAAAGGGGCATAACTCAAGAACAGTAAAAGTGACGCCACCCAATTTCGAACTTGATCTGATTTATTTGGTAATAAGCATTGTATTTAAGTTTCATATTATTTGGTTGAAGCAAACTAAAGTTAGAGAACGGAAACGAAAAATCCAGCCATTTTCCATTGGTAAAGGGGCATAACTCTAGAACGGCTATAGTGACTCCACCAAAATTCCAACTTGATCTGTGTTTATCAAAATAAGCATTGTGTATAAGTTTCATAACATTTGGTTGAGGCAAACTAAAGTTAGAGAACGGAAACCATCTTTGGGACGTACGTAAGGACGGACGTACGTACAGAGGGACAAGGGTAAAACTTAATGCCCCCTCCGCTACAGCGGGGGCGTAAAATAACACTTTTTTTTTGGTACTTTAAAACAATTTATAAATATCTTAGATAAATGAAGGCTTCAGAGCAAATGCAATGCAATTTCCATTATAATTAATTTTTCCAAGGGGCATAACTAGTTAAAAATATTTGATCAGCACTTATTTTCGAAAGTGTTAAAGACATTGCTGATAATAATCTAATTTTCATAAAATTTTGGCAAAAAATAGTACACATGAGAGCGCTAACAATGCAATTTTCATATAATCAATATTTCAAAGGGACATGTCACATAACTCTTTTAAAACCAATTGATCAGCACCAATTTTCAACTTTGTCTGAGACATTGATGATATAAACCTACGACATAAACTTCATAAAAATCTGGCAACCGATTTTTTAATTTGTCCAAGACATTGCTGATATAAACCTATGTTATAAGTTTCATAAAAATCTGGCAAGAATTGTACCTATGAGAGCACTAACGATGCAATTTTCCAAATGATCAATGTTTGTAAGGGGCATAACTCTATTAAAAATAATTGATTGGCACTATTTTCTAACTTGTGTAAGACATCGCTAATATAAAACCATTATGTAAGTTTCATAAAAACCTAGCAAGAATTGTACACATTAGAGGGCTAACAATGCAATTTTCCATATAATTAATTTTCCAAGGAGCATAACTTTTTTAAAAATAATTGATCGGCACTGAATTTTGAATTTGTCCAAGACCTTGCTGATATAAACCTATGATATAAGTTTCATAAAAATCTCGCAAGAACTGTACACATGAGAGGGCTAACAAGACTGGATGGATGCCAGATATTTCTATGTCCCCTGCAACGCATTCTCAGGGGACAATTAAAAAGAAATATTCTAATTTTGCACAGAAAATGTTATAATAAAAAGCATTTATGTCCTGATGTCTACAGCATTACACTCTGAGAAAGACTGAAACTTTTTGATGGTTCTATGATTAACATCTCTCTGTTTCAATAGAAAGTCGCTTCGGTCAAAATCAGTCAGTGTAAAAAAAGGACCTCACATATTCCTCTATTTTCAAGGATATAACTTGCTATTTTTCCTTTCCAGGAGCCTACATGGGAAGTGAAAATCTAAGCACCTATCCTTATATCTACACAAGAAACAAACTTTTCAGTGGTTCTTGATAAAATTCTCTCTGTTTCAATTTCAATAAAATGCTCCGCTGGGCGCAGCTTGATACGACCACAGAGGTCGAACCCTGAACAGTTGGGGCAAGTATGGACACAACATTCAAGCTTGATACAGCTCTGAATTTGGATTGTGATTAAATATTTGACACAGCATAGGTTTCTGACACAGAATGAATGTGGTCTAAGAACTTAAAATTTTTTAATTTACCTATTATGGTCCAATATCCAAAATCTAAATACATGGTTAGATTCAGCATATCAAAGAATCCAAAGAGTTCAATTTTTGATGAAATCAAACAAAGTTTAATTTGGGACCCTTTTGACCTCAATGTGGACCAATTTGATAACGGGGCCCAAAATCAAAATACATGGTTAGATTCAGCATATCAAAGAACCCCATATATTCAATTTTTGTTGAAATCAAACAAAGTTTAATTTTGGACCCCAATTTGGATCAACTTGAAAACTGGGCCCAAAATCAAAAATCTAAATACATGTTTAGATTCAGCATATCAAAGAACCCCATATATTCAATTTTTGTTAAAATCAAACTAAGTTTAATTTTGGACCCTTTGGACCTTAATGTACACCAATTTGAAAATTGGACCCAAAATTAAAAATCTAAATACACGGACAGATTCGGCATAACAAATAAATAAATGTGGTCAAAGATTTTACAAATCTAATGCGCCATACTGTGCAATTAAAGATTACTTCTTGAAATTTTTCAATATTTGAAATTTGAAAAAAAAATAATATTTGAAGAATAACTCATTTTAATTTCTGAAATCTGAAATGAGAAAAAATTGACCCCCCACAATTTCTATTTACCCCCCCCCCCCCCCCCCCTTTTTTCCCCCAAAAAATTCTTTCCCTCAAGATATGGTCATAATCTCAATTCAAATTTCCAATGGAATTTGCAACCATAATTACCCATTTAAATTTACCATAGTGCTAACTTAATATATTTTATAATAGAATTTAAAATATGGTGTCAAATCTTTCATATGGATTTTTTTGTAAAAAAAAAAAAGATGCAACATTTGCAGATATTTTTACTGGTCTTCCTTTATAAATATGCATTTCTTTAAACATAATTTAAAAGCAGTGTAAGGGAAGTAATCAAAACGTTATATTTGGATAACCTCCCTTACACTGTTTTAAATTGTCTTAATTGTTCATTAACCATTACTTTATATATAATTTAAAAGCAGTGTTAGGGAGGTAATTCAAATGATGTATTTGATTTATCTCCCTTACACTGCTTTAAATTATGTTTTGTACTAAAGTATTTGTCCATTAACCAGGACAACCTTGTTTTTCCCCCTTTTTTGCCCCTAATTCCTAAACAGTTTGAGCCATAGCCCCCCAAAGCAAATCCTAACCATCCCTTTGTGGTATGGAAACTTGTGGTATAATTTCAGAGAGATCCATACACCATTCCACAAGTTATTGTCTGGAAACTAGGAAATGCTTATTTTTGGCCCCTTTTTGGCCCCTAATTCCTTAACTGTTGGTACCATAACCCCCAAAATCAATCCCAACCTTCCTTTTGTGGTATTTAACCTTATGGTAAAATTTCATTGAGATCCATTCACTTTAACTAAAGTTATAGTGCGAAAAACCAATGTGTCTTTGGACGACGACGACGCCAACGTCATACCAATATATGACCGCAAAATTTTTTGCGGTCGTATAAAAATTTGCTCTGGTCGCAAATGGTCACCATAATGCAGGTACCTCGCATGTTCATCTACTTCCTCATTGACAGGTCCAAATAGGGTAAGTGAAAATCTTTGTTTAAAGCAAGGTGGGGTTGAATTTAAATTTCTTTACCCTCGTAACTTTGTCATTTATTGGTCGTTTTTCACCGTAGTTAGAAATATATTTTAGAATTTCCTGTCAAATGTTATTGCCCAATATCAACATCCGTAAGCTGAACTGATCAGAAATATATTGGCACCAACTTGTCCTTGCCCTATGTACCAAGAAGCATAGAAAAGACTGAGTAAATAAGTAGTCAGATATATAAAATTTCAAAACTTGCAACAATGCCTGTACAAATATTGCATTGAAAAAAGTCTCAAGGTTCACATTTTTATCTCATTTGGAAAAATTCCAACCACAACAGTCATTGAAAGGTAATTAATTAATAATTACATTTCAATATGAATGCAATATTGTAATTTTAATTTTATTGAAAAAAAATTGATAAGTAATTGAAATACAAATAATTATTTTGGAATGTAATTGACCTCATGTCGGTTTCCTAGTGTAATGTACACAATGAATGACCAATGGTCAAGATTGCTACAAACTGATAAAGATTTCAAAGCATGAACAAGCATGCACAACTGGATTTGTCTAGCCTGCTTTATCATAAAAGAGTTTTTAGTGGAAAGTTTTTAAGATCATGGTTGTACTACAGGTTATACATAAACTTAATATTTTCCATTATTAATGACAGACTAAATCAAACGGACCCAACCAAACTATTTGACTCATCTGTGGTTCGAGTCATCTGAGGTCACAAGCTGCATCTTGTTGTCCAATTTGAATTTTGTACCATGCTCTCAGTCCCTTCATGTATATTGTCTGTAGGTGACCAATTGCGAGATAAACTTTCTAGCCAACCATCCCAGCCAAACCACTTTGTAGTGCCTGCCTAAGATTTGTTCTCATCCTGAATATGCATGACATATTTGCCACTGGGCATTTAGCAAATAATCAATTTTCTTTTGAAGACATCATTCAAACCTTTGAAAGTACCCTCAAAAATTTTTTCAGATAAAGATTATTGAAAAAGTTCATGGAAGATTAGTTAAGTCAACATTAGCTCACACCAGCACAATGGAAAGCTAAGATATCTCTTAGCTAAATAGAAAACTGGCAGTTTAAAAATATTTCTTGGTTCTTACATTTTTTAAGTTGCTCTGTAAACTATCAAACTTATGCTCATCCATTTTTGCATCGCTGGCATGTGCTAATTCATTTCTGTAATGCTTGATGGTTGCTATCTGGGCACCATGACTATCGTCGTCCTTTGGTGGTAAAACGTCATATCCATTTTTTGGTGGTATTACTTTTGAATCCTTTCGTAAAAGTGTTATTAGTAAAGATAGGTCAAACCATTCGGATGATACTGGTTTTGAACCTGAAATAAAATAAAACAACAAGGCCCTTCATTTTTAAAATTAGAAAATAATGCTATATCTATTTTTAACATGAATCTACTTTCAATCTCTGTTAATTGTGCATTACATCTCTGAATTTGGATTGTGATATGATATTTGATATATAGCATAGGTTTCTAACACAGGATGAATGTGGTCTACGAACACAAAAATTTGAAATTGGACATATACTTTTTATGGTCCAATATCCAAAATCTAAATACATGGTTAGATTCAGCAAACCAAAGAACCATAAGAATAAATTTTTTATGTGAAATCATTCAATTTTTTATTTTGGACACTTTGGACCTCAATGTGGACCAATTTGATAATTGGGGCCAAAATCGAAAAATTTGAAAAAATGGTTAAATCAGCATATTATAAAACGCCATATATTCAATTTTTTGTTGAAATCAAACAAATAAAAATAAAATTGAGAATGGAAATGGGGAATGTGTCAAAGAGACAACAACCCGACCAAACAGCAGAAAACAGCCGACGGCCAACAATGGGTCTTCAACACAGCGAGAAAATCCCCCACCCGGAGGCCGGCTTCAGCTGACCCCTAAACAAAATGTGTACTAGTTCAATGAAAATGGACGTCACACTAAACTCCAAAACATATAAATGAACTAAAACAAGCATTCTGAGAGTATTGCATGGCAATACATAGTCCCCTACCGGGTAAAAATTCATTATACTGGAACAAAATGATAACTTGTTCTATAACTTGTCATGGTGTAAACAAAAAGAAAATATCAAGTCAATATCTTCAAGCATGACTAAAAACAGTGTGGAAAACTGAATATATGAGTGATTTTTTTCAAGTCCAAGGACCATAACTCTGCACAAAATTATCAGACTGAAACAAAAATTTGAACTTGATCTGTTACTTGTCATGATAAAACTATATACCAATTGTCAATCAATATCTTCAAGCATGATGAAAAAAGTGTGGAAAACCTATAACACTCTAACATTAGATATGATTAATAGTTCTCTAAAATTAGATATGATGTAATACAATGTACATCTATTTTCAAATTACAATCAATTATAATTAATAGTTCCAAATATTTTTTCTTTCATTTGTCACAAACTAATATAGATTTGTAACTTATCTATAAAATGTCAACAACTTTTATCTACACAATGTAATGTAATGAAATATATACTTTAATAAAAATAGATTATTATCTAATTAGGCCAGACTTTTTTTATTATCTGTTTAACAAGATCCGCCGACTCCAATTTCCCGATTTCAGAATAAAAATAAAAGAAGTGCTTTTTACTTTTATTTTTATTTTTCATGCCGACTGTTACGAAATCCTCAGAACAAAAATAAAATCTGTGGTTTACGATACCCGCTTTCGTCATCGGTAATATTTAATTTTTACCAAGTCGATGAAACAGCAATTTCAAAGTAAAGAAATTAAAGGCATAAACGATTTATGACTTCAAAAAAGAGGTTAAAGCATTGATTTTTAATGCTGGTGGCATGTTTTTTTCATAAAAACAATTTGTTTAAAACCACTTTTGCCGGTACTTGTTACACGAGAGAGTACATCAAATCATTTTAAATTTCGGCTAAATAAGTTATTACTTCATTTGAACTTGATGAAATTAGCCTGAAGTAAATTTGTAATCCATGTATTGCATTAAAAACGTCATATTCCTTTCCAAAAAGCATATCAAACATCGTTTATTTTTGTAAAGTTTTCTCCGACATTCAAATTATTGGGTATATTTTTGAAGAACTACGGAGAGGAGTCGGGATTTCATCGGAAGCGGACCCGCTATGACCGAAATCCGGATTCTTGCGATAATGACTACGGACGCATGAATGGCACTGCTGACAGACAAAAATTGATCCCAAAAGGAAAAATTACGCATTCCACACGCATTAAAGTACTTTTGGTTAGATATTTTTGATAATGTTTATATTTTCTTTTTAATGCATTGTTTCAATTTATAAGTTAATGTTGCTCAACCATGTCTATTACACTAATATAAAATAATTATATTATTTCCAAGCTTAACGGTTAAATGAATATATCTTTTTAATGAAAAATAATTAATTTCATGAACATGATAACAGAGTAGTTTTTTTATAAACATGTAACATACACTAAGAGGTTCCTGACTGGTAATATACATATATATATAGTGTATATGCAGGGAGGTTGATATATTTGCCTGGTGCATATGCATGGATCTAAATTAGAGGACATACAGAATCAAAAGATATTTTTTATGTTCATATTAATGGAAGGGTTAATCTACTGGTCTGTTTTCATTTCATTGTTCTTGTATTTTGATAAATTCTTAAAAAAAAAAAAAAAAAAAAAAAAGGTCACTTATAATGGTTTTATTTTTATTTTTAGTGTCGACTGGACCAACTTTCCACTTTTTTTTTTTTTTTTTTTCGTCCCCTCGACCCTAATTTTTTACAAATTTTCTCGTTAAACAGACTCAGGCCTTAAAGGATTTCACTTAATAAAAAAAAAATATATATATATATACATGTAGCATTCAGAAAATTAGTTTATACAAAATAACATATAAACCTGCCACAAAATTCCTCAAACACTTTACCAAAGAATGTCTTTTAAAAAATGAGTTATCTCCCTTTGTACAGAATATGGTTTAACATAGTACTCTAACATTAGTTATGGAGTTTTTTTATGGACCATAACTCTGGACTAAATCATAAGACCGAACAAAATTCAAACTTGATCTATAACTTGTCATGATAAAACTATATACCAAATATCAAATCAATATCTTCAAGAACGAAGAAAAAAAGTGTGGAAAGCTGAGTTGCCAGACTGACGGATGGACAGACGGACGGACAGACGGACAGATGGACAGACAGACAGACGGACTGACGGACAGAGTGCAAACCTAAAGTCCCCTTCGACTTCGTCAGTAGGGGACTAATTAAACAACATACAAGACTAACAAAGGCCAGAGGCTCCTGACTTGGGACAAGCGCAAAAATGCGTCGGGGTTAAACATGTTTTGTGAGATCTCCCCCTATACCTCTAGCCAATGTAGAATAAACAAACACACAGTAATACGCACAGTAAAACTCAGTTTAAAAGAAGTCCGAGTCCGATGTCAGAATATAGGTAACTTAAGAAACTAAGCAAAATAACAATGATACATAAATTAACAAGGGACTACTAGCAGTTACTGATATGCCAGCTCCAGACCTCGATTAAATTGATTGAAAGATTATGTCTTCATCATATGAAAATCAAGCACAATCCCTCCCCTTAGGGGTTTAGTATCATACCATTATAAAATATATGAAAAGAACACAACCCGTATCATGCCAAAAACTGGTTTTAGAATAAATGTGTTTAATTTTGGACCCCCATTTTGACCAACTTGAAAACTGGGCCCACATCAAAAATCTAAATACATGTTAAGATTCAGCATATCAAAGAATCCCATAATTCCATTTTTGTTTTAATCAAAGTTTAATTTTGTACACTTCTGACCTTAAAGTGGACCAATTTGAAAATTGTGCGCAAAATCAAAAATCTAAATACATGGTTAGTATCAGCATATCAAAGAACCCCATGAATTCAATATTTGTTAAAATCAAACAAAGTTTTAATTTGGACCCTTTGCACCTAAATGTGAACCAATTTGAAAACAGACCTAAAATTAAAAATCTAAATACAAGATTAAAATCTGTATATAAAGGACACCAATAATTCATTTTTTGACAAGCATTCAGAGAGGATTGCATGGCAATACATAGTCCCCTACCTGTTAAGAATTCATTGTACTTGAACAAAATACTAACTAGATCTATAACTTGTCATTGTGTAAACTATATATAACAAATATTAAGTCAATATATTCAAGCATGACAAAAAAAAAGAGTGGAAGACTTATTATTTGAGTGAATTTTCTTAGCCCAAGGACCATAACTCTGCACAAAATCATCAGACCGGAACAAAATTTGAACTTGATCTGTAACTTGTCATGATAAAACTATACCAAATTTCAAATCAATATCTTCAAGGCATAACAAAAAAAAAGTACAGAAAACTAATCATTTGAGTGAATTTTCTAAGTCCAAGGACCATAACTCTGCACAAATTATCAGACCGGAACAAAATTTGAACTTGATCTGCAACTTGTCATGATAAAACTATATACCAATTATTAAATCAATATCTTCAAGCATGACAAAAAAAAGTGCGGAAAACTGATTATTTAAGTGAATTTTCTACATCCAAGGACCATAACTCTGCACAAAATCATCAGACCGGAACAAAATTCGAACTTGATCTGTAACATGTCCTGATAAAACTATACACCAAATTTCAAATCAATATCTTCAAGCATGAAGAAAAAAAGTGTGAAAAACTGATTTGCCTGACTGACGGATGGACAGACAGACAGACAGACAGACGGACGGAGTGCAAACCTAAAGTCCCCTTCGACTTTGTTGGTAGGGGACTAATATAATTAAGTTTAATTTTGGACCCTCTGGACCTCAATGTGTACCAATTCAAAAATGGGGCCCAAAATAAAAAATCAAAATACACGGATATATTCAGCATATTAAAGAACCCCTAGAATTACAGACTTTGAATTAAACCCCATTGAAATTGGTAAAGAAATAAGCAATTTAAAAAAAGTATTAGAAAAATATTGTTTTTGGCCCTTTCTTCATAAACTTTTAGGGCCATACCCACCCCCAGAATCAATCCCATCCTTCCATTTTTTGGTATGAAACCTTGTGGTACAATTTCACAAAGATCCAGACTAATACTCAAGTTATTGTCCTTAAACCAGAAAATCCTAGTTTTTTGGCCCCTAATTCCTTAACTGTTTGGTCCAACCTTCATTTTGAGGTAAGGAATATTATGGTAAATATCCATAGAGATCGATACAGTTATACACAAGTTGTTGTCCTGAAACCAAAAAAAATGCATGTTTTGGCCCCTTTTTGGCCCCTAATTCATAAACAGTTAGCATGGTTAGGACAATAACTCCAAAAAAAAATCCAAACATTCCTTTTGTGGTATTGAACCTTATGATACAATTTCATAGAGATTCATACACTTATACTCAAGTTATTGTCTAGCATCTTCACTAGCCAAGGATGATGATCCAGTCCCCTTCTCTCCAACCATAGCAGATTAAGCCAACATTTGTGATTACAATGCTGCGCTATTTACCGGCAGATAAAAGTCGAGCCCATTCCAACATCATCCTTCTTGACCAAAGGCAGCACTTGAACTCTTTCCAGTGTAGAGGTGCAAAATGGTTGTGTCTAGTGTATAAAATTTTCACAAAACAGGAACTTATAATATATGTTGACATCCCAACATTTGCGCGAGAAACATACCCAGGTAGTTCAATTAGTTAAACAAGAACTCTTAAATTGTCACCAAATATCGTTCCACATTTAGGGGGTAAAGACTTGTTGCACAATCATCACATGGCAATTGTTTATTTACATTTTCTACTTTTACACGTGATCATCTTAAATGTGCTTTTTGATTGGATGCAGTCAGTTACAACTGTGACCAATGCAAATTAATACCTTGTGTCTCCGAAATTCTATCTTAATCCGCCAAAGGGTGGAGAGAAGGGGACCAGATCGTAACCCTTGGCTATGGAAGATGCTTGTCTGGAAACCAAATGTCTTCGAAAAACGTTGACGACAAGGACAATGACAAAACCATAACATTATACAAACCTGAAAATTTTGAGGTTGTTTAAAAATAAAGCCATTTACAAATGTCATAATGTGTCATTAAAAAGGCATAAAGCAATGTTAATATATTTAGAATAAACAAGTAAAACTGATGATACCCCCGCCGAAATATTTCGGTAAACAGGAAGTTGTTGAGTGATGAATCTGAAAATGCATCACACATTATAGCTGACTTATAAAAAACCCTGAAACCAAATTTCAGAAATCCTTGTCAAGTAGTTCCTGAGAAAAATGTGACGAAAATTTTCAACTTGGCTATCATGTGTAAAATAATACAAGTGTTCGGTAAACAGGAAGTTGTTGAGTGATGAATCTGATAACGCATCACACGGTGTAACTTACTTATATAAACCCTGAAACCAAATTTCAGAAATCCTTGTCAAGTAGTTCCTGAGGAAAATGTGACGAAAATTTTCAACTTGGCTATCATGTGTAAAATAATACAAGTGTTCGGTAAACAGGAAGTTGTTGAGTTATGAATCTGATAACGCATCACACGGTGTAACTTACTTATATTAACCCTGAAACCAAATTTCAAAAATCCTTGTCAAGTAGTTCCTGAGAAAAATGCGACGAAAATATTCAAGGGACGGACGGATGGACTGACGGAAGGACAGACAGAGGTAAAACAGTATACCCCCAAACACGAAATACATAAGAGGATATAAAGAGTATATTAGCAATATTGCAGGAAACACTCATTGTAGGTTCCATATGAAGAAGTATTTCTATCTTAAGTGTCAGGGGCAACAAAGATGTCATTTCTCCATATGATTCTGAAGTAGTGTGAGTCGTTCAAATGTAATATTCTTCTTTTGAAATAATGATCTGCACTGTGTTAACTTATATCATAATAGTTTAATAGGAAATTAAGAACTTCTTGACAGAAATAGCAACTGGTCATCAGGTTCAATGCATACTTGCTCTTTTGAATTCTATTATACTTAAACCTACCTCTCACAGTTTTAAAGGTAAAATCTGTAGCACTTGTTTTCAATGTCAACTCCAGTTTCCCAACTGCTATGAGATCTTTGAAAGGCTGACGTACCACCACTTCATCTGTACAACCATGAGAAATGATCTCTAGTATTACATCTGTTGAGTTCACAGATGGTCCTTGTCTGAAAACATAATCATATGGTAATCCAGCAATCTATTTTTGAGAATACTGATAAACTCTTCAGCATGCAAACACAGAATGTAGGTACCATATTCTTAAAGGACAGAATTCAAATGTTAAACCTAACCTGAAAGTCAATGAAGTAAACCAAGTGAGTGACCATGAACAAGTTTATCACAAATTTTCAATGAATTGCTTTTAGTACAGAAAATGTTTTATTTACTCACTGACATTCAACCACATTAACTTCTTGCTTTCCAGGAACTTTTTCATCATGTTCATAGTGTGTATTCAGGACTGTCTGGACAAACTTGGAAAAGGCCATGAACTCTGCACTGTGCTTCTTCTTTAATTCTTCTGTAAATTGTCTTTTCACATTCAAGGAGACTTGGTAAACAACTAAAATTAAGATAAGGATAAAATATATGTGTCAAAGAGCAAGGCAGTGAATATGAACAAAGTGAGGCTTGGGCAATGTCAAAAGTAGAAGGTAACACCACAAGTAAACCAATTCAGTGGTTGTCGTTGATTACTGCATGCCATATTTTTATTTCCTTATTGTTTAAGCATAAATCAGCTCTGCATGTTTTTTCTCTTTTGAATTGTTTAACATAGCTTTTTATTTGGTTTGTATTTTGCTATAAAGACAATATGATGGACAGCATCATTGCTAATTAATTCAGTCGCTGGACCTTGAACTAGTGGACAGGGCCCCTAAATTGTCAACAAACTGAGAGGTACAGACAGTAATGTAATTGATAGAAAAAATCGTTGTCTTTTGTAAGTTAAGTTCCTATCAAACTAAACTAAGCAGAAAACTTAACATTGAAAATTGGTAATTAATTGAAATTCACTAGACCATGATTTACAGGGACTTGGAGTCAAAATAGTCATCAAACGGATATACAGTAACACCTGTATAAACTGGCCGGCTACAGGACTATGAAAAAGGACCGGTATGGACAGTGAGCCGGTTTGTTCAGGTTTCCGTTTTGACCGGAAGTTAATGAATTTTGACAATCGATATATTGCATGTCCAATTTCTGTCTGATTGTAAATAATAAGCTGATAAAAATAAAACGTAATGACGTAATAAATTCGCATGATCGTTGTTTTGGATTTTCTTATTCATTGGCTGTAAAAATTTAAAGAACTAGTTTTTCCTCTAATTAGAAAAAAAAATTGTCTACATATCCTCATATGACAAATCGACCTCGGTAGCATCAATCTCCGATTTGACAGTTTCACTTTCATTTTTGTGTTCATTGTTTTCATTTGCATCAGAATCCTCGCGTTGTTTGAATTGTGACACAAGAGTTTTTTTTTACTTCCATCTTTCATTTCTGACGTTGGTACAGCCAATTGAAATCCCTAAACTTATCAAGCAAAATTTCATCACGATCGAAACTTTGTCGTAAAATCTGTGATACCCATGGATTGTAGTCATCTGGGTGTTCTTCATTATCAAGGTTGAGGGGGTTCACAACAGGGAACCAGGAGTTCGAAAAAAATGATGAAAATTTCTTACTCTGTGATTTGAAAAAAAAATATTCAAGTTACAACGTAAGTTCTATCCGAGATATATTCGACTTGTCTTTAAGATTAATTGACACTTTTATAGTGTTTCACTAGAACAGATCACTAATGTACCATGTGTTAGTTCACGGTCTAACACCTGGCTAATTGATTATCCTGAAAAGCCATCTTGTATAAACAAATATGTTTTGATTGCATATCGATCAATACTGTTATTATTTGAAATTTATTAGACAAACCGGTTTGACAGGTAATAATTGATGTAATTAAGAGTATTGGGACTGCATCATTAGATCAAAATTCGGAATACACAGGGTCCGGTTTACAAAGGATATTTTAACAAAGAATTTGAAGGGGAAATAAAATGCTCCGCAGGGCGCAGCTTGATACGACCGCAGAGGTCGAACCCTGAACAGTTGGGGCAAGTATGGACACAACATTCAAGCTTGATACAGCTCTGAATTTGGATTGTGATTAAATATTTGACACAGCATAGGTTTCTGACACAGAATGAATGTGGTCTAAGAACTTAAAAATTTTAAATTGGACATTCACCTATTATGGTCCAATATCCAAAATCTAAATACATGGTTAGATTCAGCATATCAAAGAACCCCAAGAATTCAATTTTTGATGAAATCAAACAAAGTTTAATTTTGGACCCCGATTTGGACCAACTTGAAAACTGGGCCCATAATCAAAAATCTAAATACATGTTTAGATTCAGCATATCAAAGAACCCTAAAAATTCAATTTTTGTTAAAATCAAACTAAGTTTAATTTTGGACCCTTTGGACCTTAATGTAGACCAATTTGAAAACGGAACCAAAAATTAAGAATCTAAATACACGGTTAGATTCGGCATATCAAAGAACCCCAATAATTCAATTTTTGATGAAATCAAACAAAGTTTAATTTTGGACTCTTTTGACCTCAATGTGGACAAAGTTGATAACAGGGCCCAAAAATCAAAAATCTAAATACATGGTTAGATTCAGCATATCAAAGAACCCCATATATTCAATTTTTGTTGAAATCAAACAAAGTTTAATTTTGGACCCCGATTTGGACCAACTTGAAAACTGGGCCCATAATCAAAAATCTAAATACATGTTTACATTCAGCATATCAAAGAACCCTAAAATTTCAATTTTTGGTAAAATCAAACTAAGTTTAATTTTGGACCCTTTGGACCTTAATGTAGACCAATTTGAAAACGGAACCAAAAATTAAGAATCTAAATACACGGTTAGACTCAGCATATCAAAGAACCCCAATAATTCAATTTTTGATGAAATCAAACAAAGTTAAATTTTGGACCCTTTGGACCTCAATGTGGACCAATTTAAAAACGGGGCCCAAAATCCTAAAACTTAATACACGGTTAGATTCAGCATATTAAAGAACCCCAAGAATTCAAGAATAAAACCCCATTGAAATTGATCAAGAAATAAGCAATTTATACGAAGTATCTTCTTTTGCACAATACTGTGCAATTGAATATTTCTTGCTATTGCGCAATACTGTGCAATTGACAATTTCTTGCTATTGCGCAATATTGTGCTATTGGATATTTCTTGCTATTGCGCAATACTGTGCAATTGAAGATTTCTTGCTATTGCGCAATACTGTGCAATTGAAGATTTCTTGCTATTGTGCAATACTGTGCAATTGAAAATTTCTTGCTATTGCACAATACTTATTAGATAATAATTTACACATCCTGTTTGGTGTGTATCTCCTACCATATCATTATTATTTGCTTTTAAATATTAATCAGAAATAACCAACTTAAAATGGAAAATTTTAAAAGAAAAAAAAAAGGAAAAAAAGAAAAAAAAAGAAAAAAAAAAAATCCCCCCCCAAATTTTTTGAACCCCCTTATGATTCATCACCCCCAAACTCAATCCCAGCCTTCCCTTTGTGGTATGGTACCTTGCAGTACAATTTCAGAGAGATCCATACACTTGAACACAAGTTATTGTCTGGAAACTAGAAAAATGCTTATTTTTGGCCCCTTTTTGGCCCCCAATTCCTAAATGTTTCGGGCAATTACCCCCAAACTCAATTCCAGCTTTCCCTTTGTGATATGGAACCTTGTAGTACAATTTCAGATATATCCAAACACTTACACACAAGTTATTGTCATGAAACTAGAAAAATGCTTGTTTTTTGCCCCTTTTTTGGCCCCTAATTCCTAAAATTTTGAGGCAATTACCCCCAAAATCAATTACAGCCTTTCCTTTGTGATATGGAACCTTGTGGTACAATGTCAGAGAGATCCATACACTTACACACAAGTTATTGTCTGGAAGTTACAAAAATGCTTATTTTTGGCCCCTTTTTGGCCCCTAATTCCTTAACTGTTGGTACCATAACCCCCAAAATCAATCCCAACCTTCCTTTCGTGGTATTGAACCTTATGGTAAAATTTCATGGAGATCCATTCACTTAAACTAAAGTTAGAGTGCGAAAACCAATGTGTCTTCGGACGACGCCGGACGACGCCAGACGACGACGACGACGACGCCGGACGACGACGACGCCAACGTCATACCAATATACGACCAAAAAATTTTTAATTTTTGCGGTCGTATAAAAATGGGACTTTAATTTTCGGCCGATATGGACAGAAATCCGGTTTATTCAGGGTCCGCTTTACTCAGGTTTGAATGTATACTGATAGTAGTGCAACTTTATAGAAAATGTCATTGATCTATCACAAGTAGTTCCTATCGAACTAACTTAAGCAGAAAACTTCAATAATAATTGTTGACGTCTACGACGACCAAATCGCCATCACCAGAAAATCAATACCTTTGTATCACCTTCCACGATTTTTGTCACTGGCGATAAAAAAAATGAAGCGACAATTCATAGTACCACTTTCATTAATGATTCACCAAAAACAAATCATATTTCTTGTTTTTTTTTACTTCTCGTAGATAATGCCCCTATATATATTCTTTTCTTTTATGTTCTGATCAGATTAGCTAAATAGGAACAAAGATGTGATTTCCAATGTTGTTTGAAGAGATGCTCTGCCTCATCATGATTGCTGTCATGAAGTTAATACCCAGTCAGATAATAGTGTATAGAGAAATCATAAGAATGATATATTTCCCTTCCTCTGAAGTCCAAATTTGTTTCGAGGAAGGGAAATTTAAATATTGATTATGACCCTCCGTCCTTTTTTAGAACTGCCCCAGCTGATCTGTGTTGACAACAAGGATGATTTCAACCATGCAGTTAATGGTCAATACACTCTACCCAGATGTGTTTTTATGATAGTACAACAACCTGAATGCCTTTCGAAGAGTTCAAAATCGGAAAAATGTGAAAAGTAGCAAAAATCAGGTGGAGAAAGTCGTTTGATAGCCCCAGTAATGGTATGTGTCGTAGGTATTAACTATTATCATAAATACATACAAAGGTGGTACAGGAACACAAAGAGGTATAACATGTCCAAATAAATGGGGAATGTGTCCATGGGACACAGATGATGCCCCCGCTTGCACATCATATAAAGTTATAAAGGGACAGAACTGAAGAACGGTAAAAGTGAAGCTATCCAAATTTATACTTGATCTGAGTTTTGTGGTAATAACAATTGTCTATAAGTCTCATAACATTTGGTTGAGGCAACTTAAGTAAGAGAACGGAAACGAATAATTCAGCAATATTTCCATTTGTAAAGGGGTTTAACTCTAGAACGGTTAAAGCAACACCACCAAAATTCATAATTGATCTCTATTTTGTTGTAATAAGCATTTTGTATAAGTTTCATAGAATTTGGTTGAGGCAAACTAAAGTTAAAGAATGGAAACGAAATATTCATCAATTTTTCCATTTGTAAAGGGCATAACTCTAGAACAATAAAAAAGTGACACCCCAAAAATTCAAACTTGATCTGTATTTTGTGGTAATAAGCATGGTGTATAAGTTTCATAGCTTTTGGTTGAGGCAAACTAAAATAAGAGAACAGAAACGAAAAATTTAGCAATTTTTCCAATTGTAAAGGAGCATAACTCTAGAACGGTTAAAGTGATGCCCCCAAAATGCAAACTTGATCTGTATTTTGTGTATAAGTTTCATACCATTTGGTTGAGGCAAACTAAAGTTAGAGAACGGAAACGAAAAATTTAGCAATTTAGCAATTTGTCCAATTGTAAAGGGGCATAACTCTAGACCGGTTAAAGTGACGCCACCAAAATTCAAACTTTATTTATTATTCCATAGCGGTAGTTGATTTTAGAATATAATAAAAAAATTATTTCAAAGGAAGTAGATGAAAAAAAAACAATTTTCAAAATATCAACTTTTTATTTCTTCTAAGGTAGAAAAATAATAGAAAAGAAAGAAATATTCTGTTATGTATTAGCATTCAATTTTTCCAAAAGAACATCATACATTAACATTAAAGGATTATAACGTGAAAGGTAGCAAAAAAGGGGAGTAATTCATAATTTTTGTCAAACAAGTTTGAAATAAACAAATTAGTTATGACTGTCAGCTAAGGTCATTAGTTTTAATTAACAGTGTGTTTGACACCAAAGCTATCAAGCGAAGCAATGCACTTGATGGGTCACTTAATTTGACAGTTAACACAGAAAGTTTAACTTAATAACAAATTTGCCAGTATTTTACTTAAAATCACTTATGAAATCAGTATAAACACTCAGGAATCCAGGTGAAAACGGGTCATTTTCCAAATTCCCTGGTTATTTAACGACCCGTTGGTTATTTAAAAGATGTTCTTAAATGGAATTAGCAAAACATTACATTCTTTGTAAATAGTTGGCTTATTATCATTCCTTAAATATGTTTATAAGCATTCATCTAGTAGTTTCAAAGCTGAATTAATAAAAAAACAAGAGTGCACACGCTGAAATGTCTCACCTTCTTTACTAATCATTGATATTATGTTGATAGTCCTAAATATAAAGCTTTATTACAACTGTCACATAAACTTAACATTAACCAAATAAAACTAAACATTGACCAATGAACCATGAAAATGAGGTCAAGGTCAGATGAACCATGCTAGGCAGGCATGTACAGCTAACAATTCTTCAATACAACAAATATAGTTGACCTATTGCTTATAGTTTAAGAAAAACAGACCAAAACACAAAAACTTAACACTGAGCAATGAACCTTGAAAATGAGGTCAAGGTAAAAAAAAACCTGCGTGACTGACAAATAGATTATAAAATATTTCCATACACCAAATATAGTTGAACTATTGCATATAGTATTAGAAAAAAAGACCAAAACTCAAAAACTTAACTTTGACCACTGAACCATGAAAATGAGGTCAAGGTCAGATGACAACTGCCAGCTAGACATGTACACCTTACAATCATTCCATACACCAAATATAGTAGACCTATTGCATACAGTATAAGAAAAACAGACCAAAACACAAAAACTTAACTATAACCACTGAACCATGAAAATGAGGTCAAGGTCAGATGACACCTGCCAGTTGGACATGTACACCTTACAGTCCTTCCATACACCGAATATACTAGACCTATTGCTTATAGTATCTGAGATATGGACTTGACCACCAAAACTTAACCTTGTTCACTGATCCATGAAATGAGGTCGAGGTCAAGTGAAAACTGTCTGACGGGCATGAGGACCTTGCAAGGTACTCACATACCAAATATATTTATCCTATAACTTATAATAAGAGAGAATTTAACATTACAAAAAATCTTAACTTTTTTTTCAAGTAGTCACTGAACCATGAAAATGAGGTCAAGGACATTGGACATGTGACTGACAGAAACTTCGTAACATGAGGCATCCATATACAAAGTATGAAGCATCCAGACCTTCCACCTTCTAAAATATAAAGCTTTTAAGAATTTAGCTAACGCCGCCACCGCCGCATCACTATCCCTATGTCCACTTTCTGCGACAAAAGTCGCAGGCTCGACAAAAAACTAGTAAAAAGGATTTGTCTTTAGTGACTAATTTTTTGTCATTTCATTTGGAATTGACGAAAAAAAAGGGAAAACATTTCAAGGGGCTAGAAAAAATTGTGAATGTGTCCATGAGACACATATGATGCCCCCGCTTGCTTAAAACGTTATCAAGGGATATAACTCAAGAACGGTAAAAGTGACGCTACCCAAATTCGTACTTGATCTGTGGTACACGGCACTGTGTATAAGTTTCATTACATTTGGTTCAGGGAAACTCAAGTTAGAAAATGCTAACGAATAATTCAGCAATTTTCATTTGTAAAGGGGCAATACTCTAGAAAGGTAAAATTTACCCCTACCAAATTCAAACTCAATTTGTCTTTTGTTGCAGTAGGCATTATGTATAAATATCTTAACATTTGGCTGAGGCAAATTAAAGTTAGAGAACGGAAACCAATCTCGGGACGTATGGACGGACGTACAAACGGGCAAGGGTAAAACTTAATGCCCCCTTCACTACGGCAGGGCATAAAAAATTGAAGAAAAACATACAAACCCATAGGCTTATGAATAATGATGAAAAGACTAACAAAAGACAACAAAATACTTCACAGAAAGCTTGGGAAACATGAAGCATTCCAAATTCTGAGGGAAAAGTCAGGTACATGCTTTGTAAGAGATTTTTGTTTGAAAAGAGCTTGCAGTTTCAAAGGAATTGAAATATTGTAAGTTAATATATGGCAGATGCCAAGTGACAATAGCTAGCTTGAACAGTCCTTTTGACAAAGTGATATCCAAACTGTATAACTGTTTGTTAAGGTTAAATGAATGACAGATAAGGGTAACATTATATGGCCCCTACCACTTAGTGGCTGGACCATAATGACACAACAACAATTGAAAGAGCCCTTTCTACCTTTGACTTTGCAAGAAATTTACCATACAATGATGCTTACTTAAAGTTTATTATCTCAGAAGAAAAAAGATGTGTCGGAAAGACACGACTAGCCCTGTCTTACAAAGTTGAAAAATCTGCAATTTCAACAACACATGTGGACACAAACATGCATGGATAGTATCCAGCTCTCAAGACCAATAATAGTTTGATGAAAAGGGAGAAGTTAAATTTCAAACTATCAGCAAACAGGAAGTGGATGTACTGCAGAATTAACAAGATGTGTTGAAACGACATGAAAATCAGCAAAGACAAACGAAACATAAACTTGATCAGCTGTAACTCATCATGGTAGACACATATATAAAAAATCTGAGCAAAATCTGAAGGCGTACTGTAAATTCAGAAATTATTGCGATGTTTTCATTATTGCGAAAAATGGGACAGGGTTATAATCGCAATAATTTAAACTCGCATTTTGAAATTATTTATATGAATTAAACAGGATTTTTCTCAATACCGCAAAAATTAAAATCGCATTTTAGTCTAAAATGACAAAATCGCAATTATAAATGCACGCAATAATTTCTGAATTTACAGTATATAAAAAGTTCGTATAACTTGGATTTTCAACAATTGTCAAATTTCAAAACCCGTCATTTTGGTAAAAATTAGCATAGCGGAACGAAACTTAAGCTCGATCTGTAACACATCATGGTTTACTAACCTACCAAAAATTAGCCCAATATATGACAGCGTTTACAAAAAAATTTGTATAACTGTGATTTTCAACAATTTATCAAAGTCCAAAGCCCGTAATTTTGGCACAAATAGCAGAGCGGAACAAAACTTTAACTTGATCTGTAACTCATCATGGTTTACTCACATACCAAAAATCAGCCCAATATCTGAAGGCATTTAGAAAAAAATACATATAATAGTGTGTGGCTGAATGACGGAAGGGTAAAACTATATGGCCTCAACAACTTTGCTGCGGGGCCATAAAAAACTTAATATTACTTAATCTCGTGTAAATTTTGTATATTTCTTAAATTACCTTTTTCTGCGAGTTTTTGAAATACCAGATCACTTGTACAAACTTTAAGACTGGAACCCAACAGACCAGTCTGAATTTGGGTTTCAATAGGTTCTTTTAATGAATTTTCATCAGAACAATCTCTGGATATTAACTTGAAGATAAGGAAATGGTCTGCTCCAGAAGACTCAATCCTGAATAAAAAAAAAATAAAGAAATTCTTCTTTGCAGTATGAATCATCTTTTGTAAAAAATTTTAAATATGAATTTTAAAAATTAAGAAATTTTCAGAAAAGAATGCCCAGCAAATCTGAAAAACAAAGATGTAGACAAGATTTAACAAAGACAAACACAGGTCTCCCATAAACATAAATTCTTTAAAAGACAAATAACACCTAGAAACATGCAGAACTTAATATAACAACTGACAATGTTCCTAGTCATCTGAGTACTCAACCCAACATCTTTCTCATATTTATTGAAGTAAAAACAAAAGGTACATGAAAGAAACAACATTCTTTTCAGAAAAAAAAACACTTCGGTCTTATGTCAGTTTAACAGCTGACCAACTCACAGGATATCTTAAGTGGATTGTTTAGTGCTGATGGGTTGCTGTCTCATGGACATATATCGATACATCTCTTTTTGTACATAAGTTACAATGATTTAACATAAAACACAGTATATTTAAAAACTTTACCAATTGAAAAGATTGAAAAGATTCATTTATCTCTTACTTATATTTGTAAATGTCAATTTCCTGAACACCACATACTGGATCATATAATCTAAGGATCTCTTGTTGAACCTTCTCTTTGAAAGATTTAAAAGCATCACTGGTAGGATTAGCTAAGTATTTATAACCAGGGTATTTTTCTGCTAGTTTCACTTTAACATTGAACATACCTAAAATAAAAGAATAAATATTTAACTGCTTGGAATGCTACAGATAAAACTGGTTCTCGAACAGGATTATTGCCAACTTATTGTCATTGTCTTATAGTCCCTAGTATGGGCAGTGTATTTCTTCCTACATGTTATGAAATATAATGCTTAAGGTTTTTATCCATAAAAGACAAGTTGGAAGATGAAATACACAAACTAAAGGCTCGAAAGAGTCTGTGTCACTCACAAAGGTATATGCATCTTTAACAATGGACACATTGAAGACTAAAATAGAATTCATGACAAAAATTCACTATTTTGTTGCTTTTGTTTTACTGATTATTTTTTCTATATACAGTTTGAAAAAAAAAAATCATTTAATGCCAATCCCTCATATAATATTTCGAGCTAAAAGTGTTATATACGTGTAATTCAGTTTCATATGTTTATGGGCAAAGTCAAATAAATGCTCCAAATTAAAAAAAAAGACTTAATTTCAACATTGTTTGAGTGAATTTACTTCCAAAAGGACATGTACTGATTGATAATTTATTCTTAGATGCATGATTTTTTATATTAGTTGTTTTTGGCTTTGAACTAGCTGTCAGTAACTGCAATTACTCACAGATCTGTATTTAATGTCATTTTGTTGTTGGATGTACAAGTACCCGGTCACATCCATGTGTTTTTGTTATATGTATTTCTTTTTGTATTCATCTGATGAGTTAAGCCTTTTTAAACTGATTTTTATAGTTCGTTTTTATATTGTACTGTTACACTACTGTGCCAGGTTTAGGGGAGGGATGGGATCCCGTTTACATGTTGAACCCCGCCACATTCTGTAAGTATGTGCCTATCCCAAGTCAGGAGCCTGTAATTCAGTGGTTGTCATTTGTTACTGCGTAAAATATTTGTTTTTCGTTCATTTTTTTAACAATAAATACCGTTAGTTTTCTTGTTTGAATTGTCTACATTTGTGATTTCGAGGCCTTTTATAGCTGACTTTGCGGTAATGACTTTGCTCATTGTTGAAGGCTGTACGGTGACCTATAGCTGTTAATTTCTGTGTAATTTGGTCTCTTGTGGAGAGTTGTCTCATTGACAATCATACCACATCTTCTTTTTTTTATATAAAAAAGCATAAAGAAATAAAAAAATTCTGAAACTTTATTGACATAAACAAACAAACAAAATTTAAATCAATTATACATTTTTTAAATATGATTTTATCCAAACATTATCAAATATTTATATATTTTCACCCCAATTGATTGCAGAGATCCAGACATTACTTTTGATGCATAGATTATTAATTTCCACTTGGACTTCTTTTTTTTTTTTTAATGTTTTTGGCTATTTGTTTTTATCAAATCATTCAAAGTTGATGGAACAAGTTTTGATTAAACAAATTCTCCATATCAAAATTAACCCTATTTCAAATTCACTGAGGAAAACAAATTGATTCATAAATCTTTTAATACAAAAGATACATCAAATAAAAAAAACCATACAATTTCACATGTTTTTGTTGCACTCCTGACATACAAGATAGAAAACAAAAAAATACAGAAACTAGAATAAAACACTCATGATTTTTTTAATTTGTAATCTTTGCTGGTTTACAAAGATCTACATTTGTCATTTGAATGTTATTTTTTTTTAACTTGTGAAACTTACACACTTCAAATCATATCTAAATTGATTTTTCTGACACATTATATTCAGCTTTAAGGAGCAGAAAATTGAGAAAAACACTGAAAAAAGCTCCATGTAAAGGACAAACTAGACGAATATAAGAAAGAAAGAACAAAGAAAAAAAAACAAAGTAAAATTAAATTTAAAAGACTTAGACCTGAAGACAAAAACACAGATGAGAAAATGAAAAAACAAAACATAGAGAGTGGCAATAGAAGAGAAGAAGAAAATAACAAGCCAAACAGTTGCAAACAAACAGAAAAATGTCCTGATGAGAAGCTAAAGTACAGATGTAGATACAATATCTAGAGAAATCAGAAAGAGAAGTCAAAGTGTAAGGCAAATTCTTCCTGACCATCCCAAACCTTGGACTAAAAGAATTGAGCACATCATATCCACAGCTACAAAAAAGGCTGGTGTCAGAGTTAATGAGTACTGATGGCAGTGTGCAAGAAATTGATGAGTCCTGAAGTGTAAAAAAAGTTGCGAAACCCCTTAAAGATCTGGAAACTGTTGTAAAAAAACTGTCATTTTCAAAACGAAAAGATTGCTATGTGTTTGTTTTTTTCTACATTGCCTAGAGGCAAATGGGAGGGTTGAGACCTCACAAAACATGTTTAACCCGCCACAATTTTGCACCTGTCCCAAGTCAGGAGCCTCTGACCTTTGGTAGTCTTGTATGATTTTTTATTTTGGGTTATTTATATGTTTTGGAGTTTAGTATGACGTCCATTATCACTGAACTATTACACATGTTTGTTTCGGGGGCAGCTGAAGCCCGCCTCTGGGTGTGGGATTTTCTCGCTGTGTTGGGGACCCATCTGTTGCCTTCAGCTTCTTATCACATAATGATGTTTTTTCCTGTATAATCCATACAAAATGTGTCATTTTGTCACAACCTATAGCTCGAGAAAATGCATGGTGACCTATCATTTTTATTATATATTTTACTGTGGATTCATTTATTTTCGTGGGTACCAATTTTCGTGGATTGAGGAAAACTTGCATATTCGTGGATATTTAAAATCGTGGTTTTGGCAAAGTCTGCATACATTCCTAAAGAAAATTTGTAATTCGTTGAACATTTAAATTCGTGGTTCCCCTGTACCCACGAAATCCACGAAAATTAGTATCCAACGAATATTAATGAATCCACAGTATATCACAATATATACTACGTTTTTGCAAAGTACAAAAAATTCTATAATCTAAATTTATACTCCCATACCACCTGAATGAAACCAAAGGTGAAACTTCAAGGGTTTTTATCAAATATTTTACTACCTTAGTTTATCATTCCAGGACAATGTAGAAATTAATAGACGTTTCTTGTGTTGAACAACAAGACATTTATGAATAATATTCAACAACTGACAATAAGAGTGACAAAAATATCAAGGCAGTTTAAATATCTGCATATTTGCAGGAACTGGTATTGCATTGTTTATAAATCTACTTACATTTGTTTGATTCAAATTTAAATCCATCAGCTGTGATTTCATGATTCAAAGATAGTAATCCAGTTCTAATCTCCCTTCTTACAACCTTTCTTAATTCTTCTTCATCATTATTTCCATGAGAAATCAAATGAAACACAACAAACATTGTATCTGGTTTTTCATCTCTAAAACAAATTAATTCAGTACAAATAAAATCATTCTGTCGCTCTCACTTTTGTGTGTATCACTTATTACAAACCCCTCTTTGAAGTCTGAACTTAAAAAACCAAACAGGTTCTAATTATATATACAAATGTATAGCATGTATAAAATATATAGTTAAATTTTGCGGGGTAATAAAGTTGGCAAATATTCTTATTCACTTTATATATTGGTCCCAGCTTTCATGTATAGTTCCTTAGTAAAAAAAATGGCATCATCCATTAAACTTAAAAGAGTCCTCTATACCTTAATCTAACCACCAGTGCAAAACTGACAACTTTGTAGATGCTGATTTATTTTAGAGATTTTTAAAACAATGGACTTCAAATCCTTTGACCTGGTGAACTAACATTATTTCAGCAAACATATCATCTATTTCCAGTTTTATAACGTCCACTTACCGACATCTGACAATTTCCACATCCTGTTCACCAATTGAACTGTCATACAGTCCTTTAATTATGGGCTGCACTCTGTCTACAAATACTTTATAATCGGGATGATCGCCGTTTGTTAGATTTTTTGAAAATTGTTTATCCACTTTAATTTCTGATTCAAAAACAACTGAAATATAATCATTCTATAATTAAATACACATATGAGGCTATTTTCAAACAATGTGATTTTCCTGGATTAGAATAATGATACCTTTGCTCAACATGAACCAGTACCTATTCCAATAGTAAATGAATATGATCCTCAATTTGGAATCTGTCGGTAAGTTCGAATTCACTAACATTGCTGTTATAAACCTATGATTTAAGCTTCATAAAATTATGTTAAGAATTGTACACATAACAATGCAATTATCCACATAAATAATGTTTCCAAGGGGCATTACATTTTAAAAAATATTGATCGGCACTGATTTGTGAACTCGTGAAAGACATTGTTGATATAAACATATGATATGAGTTTCATAACAATCTGGCAAGAATTGTACATGTGATAGCGCTACCAAGACAAGGCGGTCAGACTCATGGAAGGAGGGAAGGAAGGATGGTTGGACACCCAATATTTCTATGCAGGGGACAATAAATTGAAAATTTCAATGCCAATAGCATATATTTCTTAAAAAAATTGCAGGAAAGGATTTCTGATAAAATAAATTGCTTCACCAAGCCCAGCTGGATACAACCGCAGAGGTCCAACCCTGAATAGTTGGGGCAAAAATGGACACAATATTCGCGCTTGATACACGTCTGAATTTGGATTGTAATTAAATATTTGACACATTATAGGTTTCTGACACAGAATAACTGTAGTCAAAGAACTTAAAATTGGTTATATGATTTGAATTTATATTCAATTTTTTTGGCTTTTGTGCAAAACACTATGCTGTTGCGAATTGACCCCCCCCCCCCCCCAAAAAAAAAAAATTTTACCCCCTTTTTTTTTGCTTTTGTGCAATACACTATGCTCTTGCGAATTGACCCCCCCCCCCCCCCCCCCCCCCAAAAAAAAATTTACCCCCTTTTTTTTGCAAAAACAAATATTTGAAGAAATTTTCTTTTTAATTTCTGAAATCTTGAGAAAAAACTGTCCCCCCCCAATTTTTTTTCCCCCTGTTTTGCCCTTAATTCCTAAACGGTTTGAGCCATAACCACCAAAAGCCAATCCTAACCATCCCTTTGTGGTATGGAAACTTGTGGTATAATTTCAGAGAGATCCATACAACGTTCCACAAGTTATTGTCTGGAAACTAGAAAAATGCTTATTTGGGCCCCTTTTTGGCCCCTAATTCCTAAACTGTTCGGACCATAACCCCTAAAATCAATCCCAACCTTCCTTTTGTGGTTATAAACCTTGTGTTTAAATTTCATAGAGATCCATTCACTTAAACTAAAGTTATCGTCTGGAAACCATATGTGTCTTCGGACAACGACGACATCGACATCATAGCATTATACGAACCCCAAAAAATTTTTGCGGTCGTATAAAAATCAGTTTCTGTGTCCGTTTCTGAATCAGTAAATTTTTTTTTCCCGAAATTATATATTTTTTGTCACACCTGAGAAAGTATAAAAATAACGAATTCAAATTCCTGGGCAGTTCTGTATGCTCTAGTTATATGAACAATTTCAGAAAAATTTATTAATTCGCTCCTTTAAGTACCTGTATCCTTTTAAATCTAATGGATAATGTTAACTTTGGAATGACAAAGTTTCAACCAAAAGGGAGCTTCCACACATTCCAATGTACCATACCAGTTTCGTGACTTATGATAAAATCATTCTGTTTTTGTACATCATGTGAACGTATACACAGATGGACAGATGGATGAAAAATGTAGACACTCAAGGGTATACACAGTACTATAATACGTCCTGTGGATAATTGACATATAAAAAACACAATACACATCTAACAGTACTGGCAGTTACAGAAAGCTAATTCAAAGCAAATTTTGCCTAATAAGTATTAAAACAATGCATCATAAGACTAAAATATCAATCTATACACATCCAACAGATTTAGTCTAAATAAATCATAAACAGTTGGAGAAAAACATTACCTTGTGCAATGCCAAAAGTAAAATAAACTGAAAGTAGCACCAGAAGAGTTCATAACTTTATAACAACACATAATGTTTTAACTTAAAAACAAAATCAATGTAAGAACTGATATCTTACTACAGTTATGACAGTGTTAAATTGATAACCTTTAATATTATTTCTTTGAAAAAAACAATGTAAGTAAGGATAAAGTTTTTCAAAAAGATCTTATACAGTGTTAAATTGATAACCTTAAGAATTTCTTTTTTCAAAGGATAAATAAGTGTACAGAGATTCAATTTAAATAGAAAGGCTCGTTAAACAACATCACTATTGCTTGATAGATAGTAATATAATTCATTAAGTAAAATATAAACACAACTATTCATTGTTCATGTAAATTTGTGTTTTAAATTGCAAAATATTAAATTTTTGGCTTCAAAGTTATTGTGAAACTGCATATTCTAGAGGTGGCATGAATCAGATGTGGATACTAAAAAATTCCAAAGATTTTTAATTGGTTATCAAAGGTACCAGGATCATAATTTAATACGCCAGACGCGCGTTTCGTCTACACAAGACTCATCAGTGATGCTCAGATCAAAATAGTTATAAAGCCAAACAAGTACAAAGTTGAAGAGCATTGAGGACCTAAAATTCCAAAAAGTTGTGCCAAATACGGCTAAGGTAATCTATTCCTGGGATAAGAAAATCCTTAGTTTTTCGAAAAATTCAAAGTTTTGTAACAGGATATTTATAAAAATGACCATATAATTGATATTCATGTCAACACCGAAGTGCTGGCTACTGGGCTGGTGATACCCTTGGGGACGAAACGTCCACCAGCAGTGGCATGGACCCAGTGGTGTAAATAGTTATCAAAGGTACCAGGATCATAATTTAATACGCCAGACGTGCGTTTCGTCTACAGAAGACTCATCAGTGACGCTCAGATCAAAATAGTTATAAAGCCAAACAAGTACAAAGTTGAAGAGCATTGAGGACCTAAAATTCCAAAAAGTTGTGCCAGATTTGGCTAAGGTAATCTATTCCTGGGATAAGAAAATCCTTAGTTTTTCGAAAAATTCAAAGTTTTGTAACAGGATATTTTTAAAAATGACCATATAATTGATATTCATAAGGGTACATAAAAGCTAAGACTCTTTCATCTTGCAATAGTATAAAAACATTTGACTTTTCTACACTTTACACAAGTATTCCCTATTCCAAACTAAAAGACAGATTGAAAGAGTTGGTATTGCTTGTTTCATAAAACAGAATGGTCAACGTAGATACAAGTATCTTGTCTTAGGAAGGGATAAATCATTCTGATTCAAACAAAAAATTCTCTGAAACGGACATAATCAAAATGTGTGATTTCTTGATTGACAACATATTTGTTGGTTTGGAGGAGGTGTTTTTCAACAAACTATCAGCATTCCCATTGGAACCAACGTGTTCTATTATTATTATGAAGTTGACTTCATACAGGAACTTCTTAAGAAGAAAGAAAAGAAGTAAGCAGTATCCTTAAACTTTAAATTTCGCTATATAGATGTTGTTCTCTCACTAAATAATTTGTTGACTATGTTGAACGCATCTATCCCATCGAACTAGAGATACATGATACAACAGAAACAGTAAAGTCTGTCTCATATCTTGACTTACATCTCGAAATTGACATTGAGATTCGGATGTAAACGAAACTTTATGACAAAAGAGATAATTTCAGCTTCCCAATTGTGAACTTTCCATTTCTATGTAGCAACATTCCAACAGTGCCTGCATACAGAGTATATATCTCCCAATTGATACATTATTCTCGGGTTTGTTTTTCCTATCATGATTTACCTGATAGAGGGTTGCTGCTCACAAGGAAGCTATTCAACCAAGAGTTCCAAATGATGACGTTGAAATCATCCGTTCATAAATTTTACAGACGCCATCACAAGTTGGTTGACCGTTATTGAATATCCGTTTAACAGATGATAGCGGATATGTTCCTTATGTCGTAACTACAATCCAGTTCCCTTTTCATGAATGTGACATACCGTTTTAGACTAATTACCTGATTTGTATTGACACGAGCAACACGATGGTGCCACATGTGGAGCAGGATCTGCTTACCTTTACCAGTTTTTGGTGGGGTTAGTGTTGATTAGTCCTTTTTTTTGTGATTTGTGTACGATTATTTGTCTGTTTTGTCTTTTTCTTTTTGGCCATGGTGTTGTCAGTTGTTTTTGATTTATGAGTTTGAATGTCCATTAGGTATCTTTCGCCCCTCTTTCAAAATCCAAGACCTTTAAAAATGGAAATGCTTTTAATGAGATTTTACATGCTTTATAATAACTACCTAGTTGTCCTGTTTTGATGGATTTCTAACCAAGTATAATAGTTTAGTGAATTTCTCCTTTTTAATTTCAATAAGAGTTCAGTTATGATCAAGCTGTTTATAGCAATCTTGCAAAAAACTATAACATAAAACATGTATTGTTCTTCGACTCTTAGAGCAATTACCAGTACTCCTGTGAGATTCAACTTTTTATAGATTGTGAATTGCTGATCATTTTTGCTGTAATTATTTCTGTCTGTCTATGATAGTATTTGTCCATTGCCGTAACATAAGCAGAAATGACTCAATCTATGTTTGGTATGCTAAACCCTAAATATCACTGCGATTAAAAATAAAATGCTCCGCTGGGGCGCAGCTTGATACGACCGCAGAGGTCGAACCCTGAACAGTTGGGGCAAGTATGGACACAACATTCAAGCTTGATACAGCACTGAATTTGGATTGTAATTAAATATTTGACACAGCATAGGTTTCTGACACAGAATGAAAGTGGTCTAAGAACTTAAAAATTTTCAATTTACCTATTCATACATGTGATGGACTGTGAAACTCAGATCAGGAGATTGGGAAATTTTGGTCAGGAGATTAGGACTCAGATCAGGAGGTTTTTAATCGACATTAATTTTGTTGTAAATGTAACCGTGTGCTGTAAAAATGGTCTTTTAAAGTGTGTTTTCTTCAACTTTCCAACCAATTTATTATGTTTATAGTACCCTTGTACTTATAAAGTTTCTCCATCTTTATCTTCTACATGTTCAATCTAACATTGTTTTTTTCCAGTATGTTCTTTAAATTTTTTACTTCATATTCTATAAAACAATCATTGCAACCAGAACATTTGTTTAGCTGTCTGCAAATAGTTTTTATTTATTTTTTTTTTTCTCTTGCAAATAGTTTTTATTTGCAAACTCAGAAATTCATTCTATCTGTAAAGTTAGGGTCATAGTTATTATATAAATTTCAATTTAAGCCTTAAAAGGAAGTATAGAATCCTCAAATAATTTTCAAATTATTATTTTTTTATTTGTCCTAAGACATTTAAAATCATTTAATAACCATCCTTTTATGATTATTTGTTCAATTTATATTTTATTTATATTCTTTTAAAAATTTTCATTATTAAAAGGAAAGTAACTTAAAACAGGATAAATCAAGGGAAGTAACCCAATAAATACACAGTTTTTGTTACACAACGGCAGTTAGCCTGAGGTAAAAATCGTTGCTTACCAGTATGTTTGACACCCAAGCTGACAAGTGAAGCCATATAATTATGCATGTTAATTGATTTACAGGTAAAATATAACTTCAGGTAATATCAGTTACACCAGATGCCTGAGATGTTATGTTGGGCAGAAATTTTTCATTCATGAAAAATTTCATACACGGGATTTTTTCAACGGGAGGGGGGGAGGAGACCCCTGAAAACGGGATTATTGTACTCCCGTCGGGAGGTTCACATGTATGCCTATTCAAACCATATCATTATTATTTGCTTTTATATATAAATCAGAAATAACCAATTTAAAATGGAAAATGTTAAAGAAAAAAAAGGAAAAAAAAAATCCCCCCCCCAATTTTTTGAACCCCCTTATGATTCATCGCCCCCAAACTCAATCCCAGCTTTCCCTTTGTGGTATGGTACCTTGCAGTACAATTTCAGAGAGATTCATACACTTGAACACAAGTTATTGTCTGGAAACTAGAAAAATGCTTGTTTTTTGGCCCCAAATTCCTAAACATTTAGGGCAATTACCCCCAAACTCAATTCCAGCTTTCCCTTTGTGATATGGAACCTTGCAGTACAATTTCATAAAGATCCATACACTTACACACAAGTTATTGTCCTGAAACTAGAAAAATGCATGTTTTTTTTGCCCTTTTATGGCCCCTAATTACTAAAATTTTGAGGGAAAACCCCCAAAATCAATCCCAGCCTTCCCTTTGTGATATGGAACCTTGTAGTACAATTTCATAAAGATCCATACACTTACAAACAAGTTATTGTCATGAAACTAGAAAAATGCTTGTTTTTTGCCCCTTTTTGGCCCCTAATTCCTAATATTTGGAGGAAATTACCCCAAAAATCAATCCCAGTATTCCCTTTGTGATATGGAACCTTGTAGTACAATTTCATAAAGATCCATACACTTACAAACAAGTTATTGTCATGAAACTAGAAAAATGCTTGTTTTTTGCCCCTTTTTGGCCCCTAATTCCTAAAATTTGGAGACAATTACCCCCAAAATCAATCCCAGCATTCCCTTTGTGATATGGAACCTTGTGGTACAATGTCAGAGAGATCCATACACTTACACACAAGTTATGTCTGGAAGTTACAAAAATGCTTATTTTTGGCCCCTTTTGGCCCCTAATTCCTTAACTGTTAGTACCATAACCCCCAAAATCAATCCCCACCTTCCTTTTGTGGTATTGAACCTTATGGTAAAATTTCAATGAGATCCATTCACTTAAACTAAAGTTAGAGTGCGAAAACTAATGTGTATTCGGACGACGACGCCGGACGACGACGACGACGACGACGACGACGCCAACGTCATACCAATATACGACCACAAAAATTTTTTTGCGGTCGTATAAAAACTAGAGGCTCTCAAGAGCCTGTGTCGCTCACCTGATTCTACTTAGGTTTTTGAAATCATGTCAAAATAGATTAAAATCATAACAGATACCCTAATAATGAGTGAGGCCAAATTTGGTTTAATATTGGCCCTGTAATTTAATAAAAAATCCTGGTGGCCATCTTGAACAGTAAATCAGCAACAAAGTAGCAACACTTCATCAGCACCTCATAAGAAACATTTATGCCATGTTTGGTTTCATTCCATTCAGTGCATCTCTAGAAGAAGCATTTGTATGTATTTCCAATACGGTCTTATGTTAAAGGAAGTCCCCCGCTGGCGGCCATCTTGGATGATGGATCAGCTTCAAAGTAACAACACTTGGTCAGCACCTCAAAAGGAACATTCATGCCATGTTTAGTTTCATTCCATTCAGTGGTTCTTTAAAAGAAGACATTTGTATGTATTTCCCATAGGGTCCTATGTTAAACTAAGTCCCCCGCTGGCGGCCATCTTGGATGATGGATCAGCTTCAAAGTAACAACACTTGGTCAGCACTTCATAAGGAACATTCATGCCATGTTTGGTTTCATTCCATTCAGTGGTTCTTTAAAAGAAGACATTTGTATGTATTTCCCATAGGGTCCTATGTTAAACTAAGTCCCCCGCTGGCGGCCATCTTGGATTATGGATCGGCTTCAAAGTAACAACACTTGGTCCGCACCTCATAAGGAACATTCATGCCATGTTTGGTTTCATTCCATTCAGTGGTTCTCTAAAAGAAGACATTTGTATGTATTTCCCATAGGGTCCTATGTTAAACTAAGTCCCCCGCTGGCGGCCATCTTGGATTATGGATCGGCTTCAAAGTAACAACACTTAGTCAGCACCTCATAAGGAACATTCATGCCATGTTTGGTTTCATTCCATTCAGTGGTTCTCCAGAAGAAGTTCAAAGTGTAAAAAGTTAACGACGACAACAACAGACGCCAAGTGATGAGAAAAGCTCACTTGGCCCTTCGGGCCAGGTGAGCTAAAAATAGATGCACAGCTTCAAGCCATGAAGAAGTTTGTTTATATTATGGAAGTCATAGACAAGGAGTTTAGGATAAACTAGCAGATATATTTGCAGAAACTGTTTAGTCTACGTATGGTTCAAATGGTAGTTTATTTCTGTGTGTTCTGAAATAGAATACATGCAAATATTTTGTACCAAAGAAGCAAGCAATAACTTCTATCCATCTAAATAGTTCTAAAGCAATTTCAAGGATCCAACCTTTAAATGTATCTCTATTCAATTATAAACCAATTAATTACTTACTGACGTCTTTGAAAGAAAATCCAGTTGGAGAACAAGTTGTTGTCAAGGTCTTTCCTAGTCTTCCCTCTGAAATTTGCTTTTTAATAGTGTCTTTCAACTTCTTTTCGTTTTTGAGATCCACTGATGTTAAGTTGCATTTTGCAGAGATACAGTTTGTAGATGGTAAAGATCTGATAATAAATCCAATACTTTTACAATTGAGCAAATCAGTTTAAAGCGAAAAAAAGGTGTACTGTTGAAATAAAATTTAAAAATGTTTTTACACAATATTTATATAACCCCAACCGTCAACTTGGGTTAATATGTGACTAGGAAATGTATATGTCAGAAATGACCTGCCTCCAATTTTTGTGGTTTGAGACACAAACACTAATAAGCAAAACTAAAGCAAACAAAAGCAATTCAAGAACAAGGGACAAGATTTCGTGTATTTAGGCAGCCATTTCAAAAATAAAAGCAGACAGAAATTTGTTGACACAAGGAATAAATGTCAAATAGAGACTCAAACCTGTAAAGACATTCTTGTTGCAATCCCAGCATAGAAAGAAGTTTCTCAATAAATCCTATTTTTGAATAGAAGTAGAATTTGCCTGATGACACAAATGCAGACGCTCAAGCTTTGCAATTTTCTAAGTTAACAAGGCCATTAATCAGAACTGTAAATGACTCAACAGTCAAAATCATACTCTATCTATATGTTGTGGTTCTTAGCATTGTGTACGAGTTTCATAAAGTTTGGGTGAAAAGAACTGAAGTTAGAGTGCAAAAACAAAAACAAAAAAATTCCAAGTAAACAAAGGGGCATAGTTCTAGAACTGTAAATGACTCACAGTCCAAATTCGAATTCTGTCTTTATGTTGTGGTTCTTAGCCTTGTGTATGAGTTTCTTAAAATTTTTATTAGACAAACTTAAGTAAGAATGCAGAAACGAAAAAAAGAGCAATTTTCCAAGTTATAAACCGGCAAAGCTTTAGAACAGTAAATGAATCACTTCCTAAATTCAAAATCTGTCTGGTAGTTTTTGTTTTTGAGTTTCTTAAAATTTCCATGAGGCAAACTTAAGTTAGAGTGTGGAAACGAAAATGGGAGAGATCGTACGTCGGAAGGACGTCAAGTGTAAAACGAAATGCACCTGTTGCCTACGTCGAGTTTTTACCATCATTTTTTTCTAATTTCTCAAAAATTAATATTTGTCATCAGGATTTAAACTAGAGGCTCTCAAGAGCCTGTGTCGTTCACCTGTATTTACGGATGCTTTGGAAATCATGTAAAATAAGGTTAAAATCATAATTAATAGTATTGGATATTAGATATTATAATGATATCTAAGATAATAACAAAAACCTGCAAAATTTTTGTAAAATTACTAACTCAGGGGCAGCAACTCAACAACGGGTTGTCGGATTCGTCTGAAAATTTCAGGGCAGATAAATCTAAATCTGATGAACATTTTTGCCACCTGTCAGATTTGCTCTAAATGCTTTAGTTTCAGAGATATAAACCAAAAACTGCATTTTACCCCTATGTTCTATTTTTAACCAAGTCGGTCATGATGGTTGGAATGCGGGGTCATCGGACAAATTTTTTAAACTAGATACCCTAATAATGATTATAGCCAAGTATGGTTAAGTTTGTCTTAGTAGTTTCAGAGAAGAAGATTTTTGTAAAAGATTACAAAAATTTACAAAAAATTGTTAAAAATTGACTATTAAGGGCAATAACTCCTAAAGGGGACGACTGACAATTTTGGTCATGACAACTTATTTGTAGATCTGACTTTGCTGAACATTATTGCTGTTAACAGTTTATCTCTATCTATAATAATATTCAAGATAATAACCAAAAACTGCAAAATTTCCTTAAAATTACCAATTCAGGGGCAGCAACCCAACAACAGGTTGTCAGATTTGTCTGAAAATTTCAGGGCAGATAGATCTTGACCTGATAATCAGTTTTACTCTATGTCAGATTTACTCTAAATGCTTTGTTTCAGAGATATAAGCCAAAATCTACATTTTACCCCTATGTTCTATTTTTAGCCACGGCAGCCATCTTGGTTGGTTGGCAGGGTCATCGGACACATTTTTTAAACTAGATACCCTAATGATGATTGTGGCCAAGTTTGGTTAAATTTTGCCCAGTGGTTTCAGAGGAGAAGATTTTTGTAAAAAGCTAAAGACGACGACGACGCCGACGGACAACGGACGCCAAGTGATGAGAAAAGCTCACTTGGCCCTTCGGGCCAGGTGAGCTAAAAAGAATACACACTATACCTTTTTTTATGTCCTTACACAAAAAGTGATTTTTCAACCTTTTTCATTTTTTAACAAAATCTAAGTTTTTAATTCCATCCCTTCTTTTTATAAACATTCATGGGTAACACCAGGAGTCAATATCATATACCATAGTATACCTATTATTCACTTTGCACTGAAATCCTAGCACAAATATTGTTTTCTTGCAAATTTGACACACGAATCAACTTGAAATAGCATATTAATATAAACAAGCATTCTGTGAATATTGCTTGGCAAAATATAGTTAAAAGATACTTTTCGAGTTTTTTAGCGTTGACAAACAGACTGTTGGGAAAAAAATTATAGGGTTCCAACCATCCTCGATACAAGGCCCTAATTCGGCCACAAAATGTGTGTGTAACAAAGGGGTTTTCCGCAGAATCTATGGTTTGAAGGTCAGGATTTTAATTTTGGTCAAAAGTAAGAAAAATATGGTGTCTGAAGTTCCAGTATTAAACCTCTATCAATTTGTTAAGCAATCTATAATTACATCTGAGTTCTGGTATAATTCAGTTATTTCCATTAAACGTACTATACATGTTTTATAGAAATAACTGCATATATTATATATATAGTTGACAGTACAGATTTTTTTACAACCAAAAAGATGTATCTGTTCCTTTGTTTTTACATGCTGTAATAGGCACAAGCTTTATAGGAATAACATTTCTGCAACATAAATTTATGGTAGAGACCCTGTGTTCTATAGTAGCATAAATATGTACTTAGTCAGGAGCCTGTAATTCAGTGGTTGTCATTTGTTGCTGTATATCATATTTGTGTTTCGTATATTATTTTGTACATTAATCAGGCTGTTATTTTTCTCGATTGAATTGTTCTAGATTCTCATTTTAAGGCTTTTATAGCCAACTATGCGGTATGAGTTTTACTCATTGTCAAAGGCCGTACGATGACCAGTATAGTTGTTAATGTTTGTGTCATTTGGTCTCTTGCGGAGAGTCGTCATATTTGTAATCATATCACATCTTCTTATTTCATATTATATCATTCCAATTGCTGGACTAATGAAACCTTAAAAATGTTTCCTTTACACTTAGTCTATTGAAACTGAAGACGCAGTATTTTCTGACTTTTGACCATGTGGCAGCTCAGCCTGTTTTAACAGTTTTGAATTACTCTTTTGCTGAGTAGTATTTTCCACTGAACATCTCAAATAATACTTACCTAAACTCTTCCACTTGACATAACTGTGTACCTGGAACAGAATCATACAAAAAATGCAAGATTCTTTCTATTCCTTTTGCCATCATTTTAAATTCTTGGCTGTCTTTCTGACCTAAAGCTGCATCATATTTTTTGGTAAGGTTTATAACCATTGTATATTTATCATGTTTATCTGAAATTGATTTAATTACATGTTATTAGTAGATAAAACAAGAGGCTTCAAATACTATTGAATCACAACCTGGTAAAAATGTGCCACTTATATGATTATTCGACTTTTATTGACAATTACGGTCATGTCAACTCATGTATAGAGCTTATTGCACAGAATAATGTTGCTTTTACCGCATCTCTCTTTCTATTATATGCAAATAGGGTACACACCATCTTTCAACAGTAATAACTCCAATAAGTGTTCAAATGATTATTTCTACCATTATGACTTATTTGTAAATCTTATTTGCTGAACATTTTTGGTGTTGACAGTTTTTCTCTATCTATTATACAATAAATTGATGCGCCGAGTGCAGCTGGATATGACCGCAGAGGTCCAATCCTGAACAAATGGAGAAAATTGGGGAAAAAATGGACACAGTATTTGCGCTTGATACAGGTCTGAATTTGGATTGTAATTAAATACTTGACACAGAATAACTGTAGTCAAAGAACTTAGAATTGGTTATATGGTTTGAATTTATATTCAATTTTTTGCTTTTGTGCAATACACCATGCTTTTTCGAATTGAACCCCCCCCCTAAAAAAAAATTTTTTTTACCCCCCCCCCCCCCCCCTTTATCCAAAAAAAAAATTCTTTCCCTCAAGATATGGTCATAATCTCAATTCAAATTTCATTGGAGTTTGCAACCATAATTACCAATTTAAATACATCATAAAAGTCTTAAAATAGAAAATGACATACATAATCAAGGCTAAAATTAATATACCTTAATCAGCATTTTTAAAACAGTAAGTTCTAAAAATAAATTGACAGCCAATCACCTCAAGACAATACAACATTTCTTTTTACATAATTTAAAAGCAGTGTAAGGGAGGTAATTCAAACACAACATTGTTCTTTTAAAGTAATTGTCTATTCACCAGGAAACCCTTGTTTTTCCCCCTAATTCCTAAACGGTTTGAGCCATAACCCCCAAAAGCCAATCCTAACCATCCCTTTGTGGTATGGAAACTTGTGGTATAATTTCAGAAAGATCCATACAACGTTCCACAAGTTATTGTCTGGAAACTACAAAAATGCTTGTTTTTGGCCCCTTTTTAGCCCCTTATTCCTAAACTGTTGGTACCATAACCCCAAAATCAATCCCAACCTTCCTATTGTGGTATTGAACCTTCTTGTAAAATTTTATAGAGATCCATTCACCTAAACTAAAGTTATTGTCCAGAAACCAAATGTGTCTTCAGACAACGACGCAGACAACTACGACGACATCATACCATTATACGAACCCAAAAAAATTGTTTGTGGTCATATAAAAATGGGTATAAATCATCTTTCAAGGGCAATAACTCCTCTAAGAAGTGAGTTGGCAATTTTTGCCATGTTGATTTATTTTAAGATCTGATTTTGCTAATAATTTTTAGAAACAAATTATCTCTACGCTTTATTGTTTCTAAAAAATCGCCTGGTAATTTGTTTTCTTCATTTGCATAACTTCTTTAGGTCGACAATTTAAGATTTTGTAGATGTAGACTTATTTGCAAAATATTTCCATTTTTTGTTAATACATTTTCTCCACACACTTAAACTAAAACAATCACTTCATGCAACCCCGCATAAATGTGCATGCAAACAATCTAACTTCTGAATAATAATACTTATAACCTCCTTGCTTATCCAATGAAAATCCATCAGGGCTGTCGCTGATTTCCAGACTTGCATCCACATTTCCACCATTTACTAGTTGTTCTAGTGCTTCCTTGATTTTACTTCCATCAGGATTATAAAGTGAAGAGATTTCGAATGAAGTCAATACTTCACCAGGCCTATAAGTAATAGAATATACATAAAATATATCAAAAAACTATGCTAGAATTATCTTTAAATCTCCTTTCTCTAAACCCAGTATACAGGTTATTTTAAGGTTGGAAAATTATGTTATTGCAGGTAAATTTCTGTTTTAATGATGTAAATTAAATATATGATCAATGACTACTTTTTGGGGGTGAACTTTAGTTGTGTTTTTGCTAATCTATGTGAAAAATGAAAGAACCTTTGTAAGTATGCTCACATACCTCACGCAACCACCTTGATACTCACAGGCAAACAGTTTAAGAAAGTTATTAAAATTTCAAAAACTTTAACCACAGAGTGAATATTTGTGGAAATGCCGACGACGCCGACGATGGAATGTAGGATCGCTATGTCTCGCTTTTGCGACAAAAGTCGCAAGCTCGACAAAAATGTGGTAATTAACAATAGGGAAAGAAAAATCAATCCTTTTGTCGTAAATGTTTGTGAATGTAAGGCATAGAATACCTAAGCCGTATTTGGCACAAATTTTTGGAATTTTGGGTCCTCAATGCTCAACTTTATACTTGTTTGGCTTTCTAACTATTTTGATCTGAGCGTCACTGATGAGTCTTATGTAGACGAAACGCGTGTCTGGTGTATCAAATTATAAGCCTGGTACCTTTGATAACTATTTACACCACTGGGTCGATGCCACTGCTCGTGGATGTTTCATCCCCGAGGGTATCACCAGCCCAGTAGTCAGCACTTCGTTGTTGAAATGAATATCAATTATATGGTCATTTTAATAAATTAACTGTTTGCAAAAGTATGAATTATTCGAAATACTAAGGATTTTCTTATCCCAGGCATAGAATACCTTAGCCGTGTTTGGCACAACTTTTTGGAATTTTTGTTCCTCAATGCTCTTCAACTTTATACTTGTTTGGCTTTCTAACTATTTTGATCTGAGCGTTAATGATGAATCTTATGTAGACAAAACGCGCGTCTGGCGTATCAAATTATAAGCCTGGTACCTTTGATAACTATTTGTGTATAGAGCTTCTGGTTTATGGTTACATTGTTGGCACATGATCTGTATTTCAATTAGATTGACCCAAAATAAATCTAGGGTATAAAAAAGAAGATGTGGTATGATTGCCAATGAGACAACTCTCCACAAGAGACCAAATGACACAGAAATTAACAACTATAGGTCACCGTAAGGCCTTCAACAATGTGCAAAGCCCATACCGCATAGTCAGCTATAAAAGGCCCCAAAATGACAAATGTAAAACAATTCAAACGAGAAAACAAAAGGCCTTATTTATGTACAACAAATGAACGAAAAACAAATATGTAACACATCAACAAACTACAACCACTGAATTACAGGCTCCTGACTTGGGACAGGCACATACATACAGAATGTGGCAGGGTTAAACATGTTAGCGGGATCCCAACCCTCCCCCTAACCTGGGACAGTAGTGTAACAGTACCGCATACGAACGAACTATAAAAAGCAGTTGAAAAAGACTTAACTCATCAGATGGATACAAATAGAAATACATCTAAGGAGTTCTTTTAGTGAAGGAGCTATTGTTAACTCTTTAAATCTGTGATTGTAATATTCATCGTCATCAATGCTTTTGAAACATACATGTATGTGAAATAGAATGAAAATAACTTGTGTTACTCAGAAGCTTAGAATAAATTCATGAAAATGGTTGTCCAAAACATACTACACTAGTGATTTTAAGAGTTGTGTCCATTAGTCTAAATCTATCTTCTTTACTAACCCAGAACTTGAAGTTTTAGCTAATTTCACTTCCTGCTCACCATCAACAGTATCAAAAATATATGTAAAAATTGTTTTCATACGATTAGCAAATTCTTTATAATCTGTTTTATAACATGGTTCTATGTACTTTTCTGTGATATTGACATCTGCCCGAAACAAAGCTGAAAATCAAAGTTATTAAAATATGAATCATAATGTCTGATTGATTGATATAAAGCTATATCTATATTTAAATATATGTGTGTGTGTGTGTGTGTATACTGCAACTAAAAATCAAAATGCATTGAATATATAAGTTTTTGTTATACAGTCACTGACTTCATAAAGCCTTGATTGTGACAATGATTCAATTAAAGAAAAAAGTAAAATCACAAAAATACTGAACTCCGAGGAAAATTTAAAAAGGAAAGTCCCTAATCAAATGGCAAAATCAAAAGCTCAAACGAATGGATAATAACTGTCATATTCCTGACTGGTACAGGCATTTTCCTATGTGACGATAATACTTGTTTGATGAACGGAAAGATGAAGGTGATTTGACAAGGTTTTTTCTTAAGTACCTTAACTAATGTACCCATGACGTTCTTGCACGATCGGCAAAATGATATTAGTACATATCACCATTTTAAGACAGACTGAACTAGCTGTCAGTAACTGCGAGTACTCTCAGATCTGTACTTAGTGTCTTTTTGTTGTTCGGATGTACAAGTACCCGGCCACGTCCACTTGTATTTGTAGTATTTGCATTTTTATCCATCTGATGAGTTAAGCCTTTTTCAACTGATTTTTATAGTTCGTTCTTATGTTGTACTGTTACACCACTGTCCCAGGTTAGGGGAGGGTTGGGATCCCGCTAACATGTTTAACCCCGCCACATTCTGTATGTATGTGCCTGTCCCAAGTCAGGAGCCTGTAATTCAGTGGTTGTCGTTTGTTTATGTGTTACATATTTGTTTTTCGTTCATTTGTTCTACATAAATTAGGCCGTTAGTTTTCTCGTTTGAATTGTTTTACATTGTCATTTCCGGGCCTTTTATAGCTAACTATGTGGTATGGGCTTTGCTCATTGTTATAGGCCGTACAGTGACCTATAGTTGTTAATTTCTGTGTCATTTTGGTCTCTTGTGGAGAGTTGTCTCATTGGCAATCATACCACATCTTCTTTTTTATATGAGCTGTTTTGTGTAGTGCAAACATTTGCCAATTTGAAAAGGTTGGAATTAACCTGCGTGCAACCTCCTGTACAAAAGGGGAAAAAGCTTCAACAAGAAGTGGAACCCCTTCTAAAGCAATTTCCAATTTTAATGAAGAACATACTTCATTTATACTTTTTGTTTTATTATCTGTACCTATATACCAAACTCTGAGCATACCTTCAGGATAAAGTTGAATCCACTGGTAATTTGGTATTTTCCTATCTGCTTTCTCAAACTCTAGTCGCTTGTCAAGTAGGTATTGAACTAAATGATCTGGGGGATGTTTATCATCAAAGTAATGTCTAACAACCTCAGTGCACACCTGGTACATAAGATATAGAGACCGAAAATATCGTTCCTCGGGGGTCATTTTACTGCCGATCCCATCCATCTTTTGTTAACGAATTCTGTTAGTTCATTCTCAAAACTATGAAGAACAAACTGTACCTAAAATTAACATACTGTGGATTAATTTACTATTATGAGAACCAATTTTCATGAATTGAGGCAAAATTGTTTCATGGATACTTGACGAGCTTGAACTTGTGGATTTGATAAATATTGCTTTATTATATATGATTAGACTATCTTAATAAATTAATATAAGATGCAGTGTTACGAAAATGTCATGGAACGGTAGAGCCTCACTGGTAAAGAAGTTACATTTATGGTACTACAAACTGTCCATACCTTTATTTTGGCATCACACAAGGACATGTTTTTCTCTTACTTTTAATGACATCTTTAATTTATACTAAATCCATTGGAAGTTGGATGTATACTGATTGATATTTTAGTCTTGGCTACATGATTTTTCTATAAATTGTCTTTGGCTTTGAACTAGTTTTCAGTAACTGCAAGTACTCTCAGATATACAAATGTACATGTCATGTACTGTGTGTCTATTGTTTTTTTGGGGTTTTTTTTTGCTGCTTTGTATCAGTGTATTGCACTAATGAATTAAGTCTTTTTCAACTGGTTTTGATACTATTTTGATGTTAGACTGTAACACCACTGTTTTAGGTTAGGGGAGGCTTTGGCGCCAGCAAACATGTTTAACCAGCCACATTCTGTATGTGCCTGTCCCAAGTCAGGAGCCTGTATTTCAGTGTTTGTTGTTTGTTGCTGTACATCATATTTGTTCATTATTTTGTACATAAATCAGGCCGTTAATTTCCATGTTTGAATTGTTTAAATTTGTAATTTCAGGGCCTTTTAATTTAAAGCTTACTATGCGCTATGGGTTTAGCTCTTTGTTGAAGGCCATAAGGTGACCTATAGTTGTTTCAACTTCTACATTATTTGGTCTCTGGTGGAGAGTTGTCTTATTGGCCATCATACCACATCTTCTTATTTTTATATATGTTGGAATTCCTTAATTGACAAGGTACTTAATATAGAAATAAGCAGATGCATAATGACTGCCAATGAGACAACTATCCACCACAGTTACAGCCTTCAATAATGAGTTGTTATTGTTTGCTATTACTAAGTTTCTAATTTTTTTCTTTGTTGTCTTAGACTTAGTTATTATTTTATCATATTTATCTTTAGGTTGAATGAAAATATATACCCCTATATATCATCTATGTATACATAAATATGACAAATGATAAAAAAACAAGAATGTGTCCATAGTACACGAATGCCCCACTCGCACTATCATTTTCTATGTTCAGTGGACCATTAAATTGGGTTCAAAACTCTAATTTGGCATTAAAATTAGAAAGTTCTTTTATCATAGGGAACATGTGTACTAACTTTCAAGTTGATTGGACTTCAACTTCATCAAAAACTATCTTGACCAAAAATTGTAACCTGAAGTGGGACAGACGGATGAACGAACGCACAGACCGAAAAACATAATGCCCCTCTACTATCGTAGGTGGGGCATAAATTAGATTATACAACCATGTATACATTTAAGTTTTGGTTTAAAATATAATAATTAAATGTTGCAGTTGATTAAATTATAATTATTATTCAAATAGATAATCAATAACACTACACAATGCACTACAGACATGACAGATGCCTTTTTATACATGTATATATTTAAATATATTTAATTAAATAAAAGAACAGAGTTCCAATGTCCCCCGCGTAGCACATATTTTATCTATCAAAGGTACAAGGGGAATAACTAAAAAAAACACTTTTTTTTCTACTGTTTATTAATATCTTAAATGAAATGAAGGCTTCAGAGCAAATGCAATGTGATTTCCATTATAATTTATATTTCCAAGGGCATAACTCGTTAAAAATATTTTTAAAGTGTCAAAGACATTGCTGATATAAACCTATGATATAAGTTTCATAAAATTCTAGCAAGAATTGAACACATGAAAGCGATAACATTAAAATTTTCATATACTGTGGATTCATTATTATTTACACGGATACCAATTTTTGTGGATTTCAAGGGTACAGGTGAAGTTCAACAAATTACAAATTTTTTATGGATTTGTATGCAGACTTTTGCGAAACCACGAAATCAAATATTCATGAAAATGTAAGTTTTCCTCAATTCACGAAAAATTGATATCCATATAAATAAATCAATATTTTCAAGGGGCATAACTCTTAAAAAATAATTGATCGGCACTGATTTTTTAAGTCTTCAAACTCATTGACCAGTGGTAAGAGAAAAAACAGAGAGGCGAAAGATACCAGAGGGACATTCAAACTCATAAGTCGAAAAAACAAACTGACAATGCCATGGCTAAAAAAGAAAAGGACAAACAGACAAACAATTTTACACAAAAACACAACATAGAAAACTAAAGACTAAGCATCACGAACCCCACCAAAAACTGGGGATGATCTCAGGAGATCCGGAGGGGTAAGCAGATCCTGCTCCACATGTAGCAGCTGATGTGTTGCTCATGTTAGTACAAACCCAGTAACAAGTCTTTTAAGCTGTCTTTAGTTATTTTTAAAAAAAGTTCAGCATGTAATTGACAGTAATCAAAACGTAATGTAATTACTTTTGATATAAAGTAATCGATTACACAAAAATCATTCATGTAATCGATTGATCGATTACACAAACATCCTTCATGTAATCGATTGATCGAATAACACAAAAATCCTTCATGTAATCGATTATTAATTGATTACAATTGACAGTAATCATGTCCATTCCGAATTTCTTTAATAGCCTTTCATATTATAATGAAGAGTTAATTGCATTAACAGTTGATGTTCAATTGTTCTAGATCAAGTCAATTGTATATAATGATTAATTCTTCATTTATAATTGAAGAGTTGATTGAATTCACAGTTGATGTTGATTTTTTTCTCGTTTGTGTCCATTGTAATGATCGTGCCTTTTATATAAGAAAAGAGTTGATTGAATCGACAGCCGATATTTAATCATGATCGATCATATCAATCGTAACAATATTTCATTCCATATTATTTTGAAGACGATTGAATTGACAGCCGATGTTCAATAATAAGTGTAATAAGTTTATTTTTTTTAAAGTTTTAAACATGTTAAAGGGTATATAAATTGAAGTATAAACAATGACTACTTATTAATAATTTTTCGTAAACAATAAGAAAAGTTAAATTTATATTACCAAAACAACTTTGATGATAAAGTTAAAATAAAGAAGAACTCAGTATAATAGTCCCAGTTTTACTCGGCATTAGTTTATCCCCGTGTAAAAACATTTCTTTCTAGTAAATGTATTTAATTTGTTTAAATAGTTTTATTATTTATATATTTTTATTTTTTGCATTTAATTATTTCTTTTTCATTTTAAATCTACCAATTTTAACGGTATTCTATATGCTGACTTGTTCGCTGAAATCTGTTGTTTACATGTATTAGGGAGCTACCATTTGATTTTTATGGGGGGGGTGCTAGGATGAAATTTGAAAAAAAGGCAGGACAGAAGTTTTGAGTAAAAAAAAAAAAGGCAGGATGAGCAACTTGGCAAAAAAAAAGGCAGGATGACAAATTATGTATAAAAAGTCAGGATAAACTAATAAAAAAAGGCAGGACCGAATAAAGTGAAAAATAAAAAGGCAGGACCGAGATTAGATTACAACTAAAAAAAAATGCAGGACACAATTTTTCATCCTAGCCCACGCCCCCCCCCCCCCCATAAAAATCAAATGGTAGCTCCCTTACCATTGACTGCATGTAATTATTATAATTTTTCTGTAAATGTCCTTGGAATGCTTTTCCGTTTTCAAAACTATTATAAGTCGTCCCAAAGGGTTTGTAGAGATGTCGTTTTTACACTTCCTTGTTTCAGATCATTTTTGAGGTCCTGGGACAGTTGGAGGGTATTTCCCTTCCCCTTTTAATGTTGGATATGTCCCTATGTGTCTCACCTTGTAATATGTCCTATGTTATAAACTGACTTTCAACATTTTCGCTCCAACGGTATTTCATTTTCTTATCGCCTTTACAGCAGAATGCATTGAGTGTGTAAGGTAAAGGTAGAATCTGGTTAGCTTGCTTGTTAGCTTAACCGTGAGTCATTATTAGGTCAGGTATACTACCGTCCTTTCGGAGTAGTATAGGTTATCGGTCGGACTAGTCTACTCTTAAAGGAGGGTAGTTTACCTAACATAATAAAATTTCATCATCTTCCTTCTATGATCTTCTATGTGCGGGACCGACTAATAAGTCAACTCGGACCATCTCACTGTACAAATCCTTGATTTATTATAAAACTTATCTCTAAAAAAGTCCATGTTGAATTTAAATTGTTTTAATTATTTGTTGAATTCTTTATTTATCATTTTAAAGTCAACTCAGACCGTCTATATTATGTAAATGACATATATTTGTTGTTATTTAAAAGATCTTCCACTAAGGAGCCTCCTCATGGGGTTTTTGATTATTTGATTACTTGGCCGTTTTTATAGTGATTATTTGATTACCAGACCAAATATTTCATGATTATTTGATTACCAGATCAAATATTTCATGATTATTTGATTATTTGATAGTCTAGGACTGCCGGTATTTTTGATTATTTGATTATCTTGTATAAAAAATGATTAATGATTATGTGATTATATTGGCAAAAAATTTGTGATTATGTGATTACTTGGACACCCCCATGAGGGGCCTCATTTAGGGAACGATCATTTAACTTCAAAGGGGGGGTTATGGTTTTTTCCTAAAAAAAATATTCTGATCCCCAATTTGATGAAAAAAAGTATTGTGGTCAAGCAGATGACAAAAAAATAATTCTGATCCAGATTTTCCCCATACCTTATAGTGTTAAATTTAAAAAAAAAAATTTGATAGCGTCGAAAAAAAAATTCTGACTGAGACAAAAAACCATAACCCCCCTTGTAGTTAAATGATTACTCCCTTATATATATATCAGATTCTCATCAGTTTGCATAGAAGAGAGTAAGTATTCAAATCGTCAGACCATCGAAATAAAGAACCATTTCTACTAACTATGATTATTGATAAGTCAGTACATCACTTCTGTAGCCCTTTCTGTTGAAAAATCTAGAAAATTTCAAGAATTTATAGATATCATTTTTAGATCACCTACCCCTATAAAGGCAATGTAAGCTATTAATTTAATCACGGACTTGGCATCTGTCGTCGTAATTTTTTATCAAAAATCTTCTCTGAAACTTCAAGACAAATTTTAACCAAACTTTTATTAAATGATCATTAGGGTATTTAGAATAAAATGTGTTTATTTTTTTTTTATTCTTGTCCGTCAAGAAACATGGCTGCCAGGACTAAAAATTCAACATAACTTGCTTTTATTGTCGCGATGTTTTATTTTTGCGTTTCTTTATCTTGGATTATGTTCTTCGTTTAAAGGGACGAGATATAAACATGAAAAATAAATTATGATTTTTTGTTTTGTTCAATCATTAATGAAAGTGAAATAATGAATAATAATTCGCTTTAAGTAGCCAATTTGGTGCAATTTTGTCAAAATAAGCTAAGAAACATCGCTGATGAGTTATTCACTTGCAAGTGAATAATTCGACCTCATTGAATCCGTTGGTTAATTAGATAGCGTCTAGACAAAAATACACACGAAATGTTGATACATATTATCGAGCTCATGCGTTGTTAATTGATTATTTTAGACTTTTTGTAATTTGGTTTGTAATTTGGATATACGTTAATGTAGCATGTTATAAACCAAATATGAGAATTTGAGTCAAATCGATGAACATGAATTTGACAGCTAATGTCCTTTTTTAAGATCGAGTTAATGCGAGGGGATGTACTCGCAATTTTAACTTAATCGCGAAAGTAAACCCCTCATAAAAATTTCACACCTTACAGAATATATACAACATGGTTGGATGTGAAGGTCACAAGTTTAAATGAAACGAGCCTTCAATTTGATAACATTTGAAGGGCGATGGATAGGCTAGAAAATAACATAAAAAAACAACATAAGGTTAGCAGTGAAAACAATTGAAATTATAATAATACAGAAAACTTACACGAATGTTACACAACCGACACTTAAAATAGGGGTTGAATATCAACATGTTGAACGTAGGCAGTATGTGCACATGGAAGAAGACAAACTCGGATTGATCTATGTACCGTAGACTTAAACAATGTCTAACAATTAAGATTAATTGTACCTTTATTATCCCCATACAAATGTGTTAGGGAACACAACTGTTATCAAGGAGAGAGGCGAAAGATGCCAAAGGGACATTGGAACTCATAAATCGAAAATAAACTGACCCCGCCATGGCCAGGACCACAAAAGACAAACAACAATATACAAAACACAGCATAAAAAAACTAAAGAACGAGCAACAGGAACCCCACCAAAAAACTGGGTACAATATGGAAAAACCGCAATTCTATGGAAAAGAGTGAGGGACAATTTCCAAGGATTGATTTTTCATTCGCATTGTCAAAATCTAAAAGTTAATAGATATTAATGAAATTTAACTCAAGAAACAAAATGATATACAAAGAAAGTTTTCCATAAATTCATAAATCTAAAGTATTACCCATCGCTATACATTACATTTGAATACAGTTTTGCCGCATATTTTACATGTTTTGTTCGGATTTGTTTTGGTTGTTGCAAAGTTTATGAATAAAATACAAAATTGATTTGATGAACCATATTTAAGAACATACTTATCTATTTTGTTTGTTAATATATACAACATAACATTTTGGTCTTATAAGGCTTATAAGAGGGTAGAAATGCCCTTTACCGTCAGGCGTCAAAGGATCATTTGCGGCTACCGTTAGCGTCAAATTGGTTAAAATTTTACCGTGACAAAATATCCTTATCTTGATTCGTCAGAGGTCTCAAATAATTATCGTTACCGTTATTTTTGGAAAAAATTGAACATGATTCATCAAAATCAGTTTTTTTGATCGTCTTAAAGAAAGTGTACATTTTATCGTCATGCACCAAAGATTACCGTTAACGTCATTTAGCAAATTGTTTTACCGTTATTCGTCATGAAGGTACCCCCATTACGACCCTCTTATAACTGTGAGGGTCACATTTTACTCATATAAAATCACATCTATGTCAGAGTTATCAGAGAATTTGAATTTGCCATGCACTCCCTTTTCCCCGAAATAAAACATTAGAACCTGGAGTCTTAATCTAAAAAAACGATCAACTGAAATGAGTAATGATACGCTTAAGCGTAGGACTGTGTGGTTCAGAGCTATATAAGAATTTGAATGGAAAGCGATCGCGAGACATAGCTATTCTAGATTCCGTCGTCGGCGTCGGCGGCGTCAACATTTAGGTTCAGTCTGTGGTTAAAGTTTTTTTTAGACTTTAATAACTTTGTAAAACGTACATGGAATTTTATGAAATTTGGACAGAAGCTTGTTTATGACCAAAATACAGTATCCAGAGCAAAATTTTGAAAATTTTAATATTCATTTTCCTGTATTTTACTGATAAATAGACTTAGTTTTTTACACTTAACATTCAGATTTAGTCTGAGGTTAAAGTTTTTTTAGACATCAATAACTTTGTCAAACCAACATGGAATTTTATGAAATTTAGATAGAAGCTTGCTTATGATCAAAATACAGTATCCAGAGCACATTTTTTAAAATTTTCATTTTCATTTTCCCGTATTTTACTGATAATGATAAATGGACTTAGTTTTTTACAGTTAACATTCAGATTTAGTCTAAGGTTAAAGTTTTTCAGTCATCAATAACTTTGTAAAACCTTCATGGAATTTTATGAAATTTGGACAGAAGCTTGTTTATGACCCCAAAAAAGAACAGTATCCAGAGCAAAATTTCAAACCTACATTGATTTTACAGTTAACATTTAAAGACAGTCTGGGATTAAATTTATTTGACATGATAAATTTGTAAACCTTCATGGATTGTTATGAAACATGTATAGAAGCTAATCTTCAAGACCAAGAAATAGCATCTAAAGAAAAAGTTTGGATTTTTTTTTTAAATTCTGTATTATACTGATAAATGGACTCCCTTTTATGTCAATATTACACTTTAACACTGACAGTAGCAATCGCAGGCAAGACACAGGGTTCCGCGGAACCCCTTACGAATCTTTGTGGTTTTTTTTTATATAGTTTTTTCGATTTTCCCCTTCTCTTTGAACAGTATAATAGATAAAGGAATGAAAACAGAAACTCTTTTCAACCAAAGAGATCTACAAGTAACTCGACGTGACCAAAATCTTTACTATTTCTTCCTCATAAGAGATATTGCCTTTAGGGTTTCGTCATCTTCGGTTGTCAAATAGCACAACACAATCGGTCTAGATCTAAAAAAATGTACACATTTTGAGAGAGGAATGTTATTTATATGTAGTACTTTTCATCTTGATGAAGAGAATTATGTGATTTATCTTATCAAAACGACTATTTGTTTTTAAATACAGAACGTTTTTTGTATAATCATTTTCCCCCCAACTTTGCCATATAAAGGGGAGATAACTCAGATAACATTACTTTTGGTCGTTTTTTATTTTTTTGCCATGGCATTGTCAGTTTGTTTTCGACTTATGAGTTTGAAAATCCCTTTGGTATATTTCGTCTTTCTCTAATGAAGAAATGTACTTAACCTATTTTGTTATGTAGACAGACAAGTCTCATGATCCCATTTTTTTATTTTTATTTTCTGGAAGCACATTATAAGAATTGTCTTCTCATAATTTATCTTAAAATTCTATCTTTTAGTTTTCTTTCTATCACATAAAATTAGTTTTCCATGTATAGTTTATACAAAATGTGACAATACTGCATAACCTGTAGCTTGCAAAAAAGCTCTGTGGCCCACACTTTTTTTATTATATTTTTGGCAAATAATTAAAGAAAAATCTACCGATTTTAGTTTAGACCCCACTTTTGAAAACTATAAAAGAGAGAGAGAGAGAAACTGTTCACATAAAAAAACTTAATATCTACAAATTAATCAAACAATACCAAAATAATTCATGCACTTTAACAATTATACAGAAGTTTGATTTTTTTTAGGTTAAACATATTTGATTTGCTTAAAAATGCAAAAGGGATGAGACACAAGTAAATCAAAATTATTAAGTCTTCTCTCTTTTTTTATTAATGCTTTGAAAACACATATAGATAGAGAGAAGCTGCAAAGAACCAATATATTCACTATGGACAAGAAAATAAGTGACGGAACTCATTAATTGACTTCTTATTATAAGTTATTGGGGTCATTGTCCATTAATGACTTTACCAATTTAGATAATAAAATATCCTTCAAGTGGATATATAGATAAACCTGAGCACTATTGTACTTAGTACTGGAAAGATGGTTGGCACTGCTGTTAATGATTTTAATGTTGTATTTTTTTTTAGCAAGTTGACGATTTAGACTGGAGGCTCTAGGTCAAATTTCATTAGGTTTCATAGAATTCATATTTGAGCGAAAAGTATACAACAGAATCTACCATACTTTAATTTATGTTTGGGTTGGCTCCATGAATAAGGATCCTTCCACCTATCAATTCATCTATATGGATACATCCGAATTTTATAGATTACAATTTAATCAATAATTTCATCATTTTTTGTCGAGCCTGCGACTTCTGTCGCAGAAAGCTCGACATAGGGATAGTGATCCGGCGGCGGCCGCGGCGGGAGGCGGCGTTAACTAACTACTTAAAAACTATATATTTTAAAAGGTGAAAGACCTGGATGCTTCATACTCTTAAATTTGTATATAGATGCCTTGTGTTATGAAGTTTCCGTCCGTCATATGTCCATTGTACTTGACCTCATTTTCATGGTTCAGTATCTACTTGAAAAAAATGAGATTTTTTGTTATGTTAATTTCTCTCTTATTTATATGAGTAATCGGATAACTATATTTTGTATGTGCGTACCTTGCAAGGTCCTCTTGCCTGTCAGACAGTTTTCATCTGACCTCGACCTCATTTCATGAATCAGTGAACAAGGTTAAGTTTTCGTGGTCAAGTCCATATATCAGACACTATAAGCAATAGGTCTTCTATATTTGGTGTATGAAATGATTGTAAGGTGCACATGCCCAACTGGCAGGTGTCATCTGACCTTGACCTCATTTTCATGGTTCAGTGGTTAAAATTAAGCTTTTGTGTTTTGGTCTTTTCTTCTAATACTATATGCAATAGGTCAACTACATGTGGTGTATGTAAATATTTTACGATGTTCATGTCAGTCTGGCAAGTTTTATTTCACCCTGACCTCATTTACACGGTTCATTGCTCAGTGTTAAGTTTTTGTGTTTTGGTCTGTTTTTCTTAAACTATCAGCAATAGGTCAACTATATTTGGTGGGTGGAATGATTGTTAGGTGTATATGTCTGTCTGGCAGGTATCATCTGACCTTGACCTTATTTTCATGGTTAATTGGTCAATGTTAAGTTTTCAAGGTTTAGTTTGATTCTTAGATACTATAACTAATAGGTCAACTATATTTAATGCATATATTGATTGTAAGGTGTACATGTCTGTCTGGCATGGTTCATCTGACTTTGACCTCATTTTCATGGTTCATTGGTCAATGTTAAGTTTTCCTGGTTAAGTCTGTTTCTTAGAAACTATAAGCAATAGGTCAACTCTATTTCATGCATGGAATGAGTGTAAGGTGTTCATGTATTCCCGGTTTGGTTTATATGACATGGACCTCATTTTCTTGGATCATGTTAAGTTTATGTGATACATGTAGTAAAGCTTTATATTTAGGACTATCAACATAAAATCAATGGTCAGTAAATCAGGCAAGACATTTCAGCGTGTGCACTCTTGTTTTGTTTTTGTTTTTTTTTTTTTGGAGGGGGAGGAGAGGTCACATTCTTTTACAGTTCTACTTTTTAGCGTATCATTTATCAGATCTCTTGTTTTTTGGTTTTAATTAAGTCCAGATTATTTTTGTTTTATTCGGAGAAAAGGGGGCGGTATTGAATTAAAATTCTCTGATAACTCTGACACGAATGTGATGTTATAAGCTTTTCAGTATTTTAGTAGATCATTTGCCAGAGCTTTTTGAATTTTGTTAGAGGAGATAAAACAATTTAAGCATAAGACTTTGTATATCGTCTCAGTGATTTATTTGTTTATCGTGTAAAAGCAATTTATACGAGGAAAAAAAACTAATGACGAAAGAAGGACCTATATACCCTTGAATGAATTTCACATGAGGATTATTATAAAAAGTCGTTCATTCTTTACATGTCTTTATTATGTAAATGTTTTATAAATAAACGGGGGTGCGGATTATGCATAATTGAGACAGCAATCCAACGACGAAAATAATCAAAAGACATAGTGAGGGTAACGCATTAAAGAGAATTCATCAAAGTATTGTCATTGAAATCCAATTCTTAAAAATAATAAAAAAAAAACATTAAGTTATGACAACTACTGACGAGGTTCCTGACTTGGAACAGATACACGGAAATATGATTTTCACAATATTATTTATATATTAAGAAACAACACAGATAGATATATTCTTAGGTATTTTTGTCATGTAGCTCTTCAACTGTTTCGGTACTTATACATCCCTCGGATTTCAAATGTTTGGCATTGAGCGTTCCTGATGAAGGTAAATCCAGAAAAGCGCTTCGGACGCATGAAATTATTAAACGTGTTGTTTTCAATTTTTTAAATATGCTTCATCAAACAAATTCTGACAGATTTTGTTTATTTTTATCCAAAAATTTGCATAAAATCACAACAAAACAGGTAAAATATGCAAAACTGTAGTCAAGTGTAATGTATAGCGATGGGTAAACTTTTGCTTTATGAATATATAAAAAAAAACTTCTTTGTATATCATTTTGCCTCAAGTTGATTGAGTTAAATTTCATCAATACTTATCAACTTTAAGATTTTGACTATGCAAATGGGAAAAAAAACCTGGGGATTTGTCCCCCACTCTTTTCCATAGAATTGCGGTTTCAATTTACATAATTCTGTAATGTTGGCGCATCATTATTGTCTAAGACTCATTCAATTTAACATAAAACGATCTAGATTGTGTATTATATTCAAAGTCAACACTAAAAAACTTCAATTCTGTTCATTGTTTTATTTTGACTTTACGGTATAATTCTATAATTGAAATAATAAAAGCGTTGACCGAAGTACATTTTGTATGAACTCTACAGACTCTACTAACCCGAGTTGGACGAATCGAAATAGGCCTATCTTTTTCAGGTGTAGACTTTGCTATTTTACTTGAAATTTCAAAATAATGGCATGGGCAACTATGATATGTCAATACTTAAGACTGATCTTTTTATTTTCAAGTTTCGTAACAGTAGAGTATGTCATGTATCATGTGTATGTGGCGGATTTTTGGTCATTGGAATTGCTGAATTAATTAACTTACAGTATTTGCTTGATACTAATACTATTTTAAAACTGTTTAGCTTATTGATGATAACTTATTTAAAACATGTAATCATTATGCAAAACTGTGAGTGTCCTAACTAAATCCTATTTAATTACCTTGGACTATTAAACTGTACCGTACTCATCAAAATGCAGTAAAATTTATATATGTCATATATGAGGTTTATAGCTCTTTGAACAGTTATAAGGTATATCAATATATATTTGGTTCCAAGAAATTCATTTGTCCCAGCAAGGATTTGCGTGAGTATCAGATATATATCACAGTCGCTCGTACTATCATACTATGACCCTGAGACTACTATAACACAGTTAAAGTAGTCTCAGTATGACCAGATATATATACTGGGACTATTATACTAGTCCCAGATATATATATATATAATGTGTCTCTGCTATGACAACTCCTTGGTCCCGGCAGAGACATATATACACATATGTGTATATATGTCTCTGGTCCCGGACATTTTTTGCAAACTGGAAAAGTAATTGTGCACATCTGTTCGACCAAGGATTTTTAATATTCCTTGGTATGACTAAATACATAATTTGATTTAATGGTATGTCTGCTTTTGACAGAAAGGTAGCTTTAATAAACATAGCCTGCCCCCTTTTTTGTCAGTTTAATTGGAACAGTAGTTAAATCCCTTTGCACAATGCAGGTGCCCGTGATGACGTAAATGAAATATTATCACGTGATAGTTAGAATTCAACATGGCGAGTAAACCGAATGTTGAGATGGTAAAGGAGCAAGAGTTTATGGTTGGACCGCGGTATACGAATTTAATGTACATTGGAGAGGGTGCATATGGAATGGTTGTGTAAGTAGTTATTCAAAAACACTACTGGAGACGTTGCATTTAGGTGTCACATGCTTATTGTTGCGTGCACAGCTAATGTCAAAACAGCGCTGTGCACGGTGAATGCATTCAAAAGGGATGTCACAAAACAGGTTTACGGATTAGTTACTTGTTGATTCAAATGGAGTTGCTTTCTTTGAAAGCAACACTAAACAGTTGTGCAACTGACATCGCTTATGAAATACAAGAACTGTTACCACGTGTGTGCGTTGCTAAAATAATAACATGTTACCCCTAATCATTTGGTAGAATATTTTTAGTTTTGCAGTCTACACACTAGGACATGCAAGCCTACTAGTTCAGGCTTTTTATGGTAAAATAACTATAGGGCCTGTAGTAATTTCGACTACAGGTAAAAAGAGTCTAAAATTGAATCCTGAATTCACAACGATTATATGGTTATTCCCGAATTCTCATGAATTATACAGCTCAATCACTCCACCCCTCTATATTGAATGCAAGGCGAGACATGCATGTTGCTTTTCCAGCTGCAGCATCAACAATTGTTAAGTTTTCTGTTTTTTTCAGTTTGATATGAACTACTTGTGATAGATCAATGATATTTTCTATAAAGTTGCATTATTATCAGTTTGATGACTATTTCGAGGCCCTGTCCCCTAGGTCATGGTCCAGTGACTTTTAATTAATAAGCAATTTTCAATGTTATTTACATTTTTTGTAAGTTTTCTGCATTAGACATCTTTATTTCTTACCAATAAATATGAAACAATGGTGTATTCAATTAAATCCCTATCCATTACATTGCCTTTATATCTATGTATAAAGTGCCCTAAAAGTGTTATCCTACACACAAAGGGTGTCCTTGAAGTGTAGCCAATCGCTCTAAGAGTGACCTCTGAGAAAAAAATTATCCTGCCCTTTTCAAAAACTGCAGGAAACACTAGCACTCTTAGCATGGTTGGCTACACTTAAAGGGCACCCTATGTGTGGAGGATTCTACTCTTAGGGCACCTTTACATAGATATAAAAGGACTGTTAAGGATAGCGATTAGATACCATTGTTTCATATTTACGTGAAAAATAATAAAGATATATGTATATTAGGTTATTAATTTGATACCTTTTTGTAATAAAACTTATCACCCCTAGACTTGGCCAATAGAATCTTGATAGTGCTACTGTCTCATTTTGATAGATAACTGCAGTTACAAAAAAAATGTATAAACTTTAATACTGATCCCTGAGGCTGATTGTCTGAGGTTGTGTTATAAAATTTCTTAGACTTGCATGACCAAGAGCATATGCATTGCTTTTTAGGTGCAGGGCACAAAAAAATAAGTGACAGTTTAAATACCTATTGGATGTGACATGTTTATACCAATCAAAGCTACAATTACCTTGCAAGGGGTGAGGAAATACATTTTGTATTTGTTGTCAGCACTTGTCCCTGGGCAAGTAAAACTCTAAATTTTACTTGTCTGGGAAAAAGATACTTGCCCTGAATTTCCCAATAAATATTGAAGCATTTTACTGTAAGCCTGTATGATTTTTATAATTGTTTTGTATCACAATGTAAATGATGTTCATGATGTACATGTATGTGATATTTGTTTACATGTATGTGTATGAATAAAAGAAGGTATGGGGTTAACATCAATGAGACATACCCAACGGCAAAAAATCCCCATTTATGATAAAGTTGATACAAAAAGTTTATATATATTATATCTCTATTGAGTACAAAAAACAGAAGACATATATATAGAGAGCAATTTTTATGCCCCCGCCGTTTTACCCTTGTCCGTCTGTACGTCCCTCTGTCCGAACGTCCCAAAGTTGGTTTCCGTTCTCTAACTTTAGTTTGCCTCAACCAAATGTTATGAAACTTATACACAATGCTTATTACCACAAAACACAGATCAAGTTTGAATTTTGGTGACTTCACTTTAACCGTTCTAGAGTTATGCCCCTTTACAAATGGAAAAATTGCTGAAGTTTTCGTTTTCGTTCTCTTACTTAAGTTAGCCTCAACCAAATGTTATGAAACTTATACACAATGCTTATTACCACAAAATATAGATCAAGATGGAATTTTGGGGGCGTCACTTTTACTGTTCTAGAGTTATGCCCCTTTACAAATGGAAAAATTGCTGAAGTTTTCGTTCTCTTACTTAAGTTAGCCTCAACCAAATGTTATGAAACTTATACACAATGCTTATTACCACAAAACTCAGATCAAGATGGAATTTTGGTGGCGTCACTTTTACTGTTCTAGAGCTATGCCCTTTTACAAATGGAAAAATTGCTGAAGTTTTCGTTCTCTTACTTAGGTTAGCCTCAACCAAATGTTATGAAACTTATACACGATGCTTATTACCACAAAATAGATCAAGATGGAATTTTGGTGGTATCACTTTTACTGTTCTAGAGTTATGCCCCTTTACAAATGGAAAAATTGCTGCATTTTCCGTTTCTGTTCTCTAACGTAAGTTTGCCTCAACCAAATGCTATGAAACTTATACACAATACTTATTAACACAAAACTCAGATCAAGTACAAATTTGGGTAGTGTCACTTTTAACGTTCTTCAGTTTTGTCCCTTTATAACTTTATACATTGTTATGATATGCAAGCGGGGCATATGACACATTCCCCATTTATGATAAAGCTGATACAAAAAGTTTATATATATTATATCTCTTTTGAGTACAAAAAACAAATGAAAACGAAATTTAAGGTCCTAGGAAATATCAATTATGTGAACATTTGCTTTATCATTATAGTTGATATTTTTTAAATGCTAGCCAGCAGGTACATGTACATTTACTAAGTTTTGAAACCAGTGAAGAAATGGACAGTTAATAATCATGATAATAGATCATTCAGTTTCCCTTCTATCTATTAATATTTGCCAAGAAATTTAATTAGTTAGACTTTTGGTCAGCAAGATGTGGGTGTTTCCTACAAATTGTGCAAAAATTTAATTTATTTTTAGAAGTTTCTTCACTGGAGATCCAGGGGAAACCTTTAGGGCAAGACTTCTGGAATTCATGTTTCCGTTTTTTTTTTTAATATATATTCCCCGTCTTTCTTCGCCTCTGTTTTCTGATTTATCTCGACTCATCATTATTATTTTCATTCATTTTGTCTTGATTACCCCATCTAGGTGTTTTGACCATGTATTTATCGATAGAATTCATTTAAGAAAAATTAAAATCACACTTCTATTAGATGGCGGATAAAACCTAATTGGCGATCCCGGGTAAATGGACAAAAATAACGTTATGTTTATGAGACCTGGGTTTGCATATTTATTTTTATACGACCGCAAAAAAATTTTGTGGTCGTATATTGGTATGACGTTGGCGTCGTCTCCGGCGTCGTCGTCGTCGTCGTCCGGTGTCGTCGTCCGAATACATATTGGTTTTCGCACTCTAACTTTAGTTTAAGTGAATGGATCTTTTTGAAATTTGACCATAAGGTTAAATACCACAAAAGGAAGGTTGGGATTGATTTTGGGGGTTATGGTACCAACAGTTAAGGAATTAGGGGCCAAAAAGGGGCCAAAAATGAGCATTTTCTAGTTTCCAGACAATAACAGTGGAACGGTGTATGGATCTCTCTGAAATTATACTACAAGTTTCCATACCACAAAGGGATGGTTAGGATTTGCTTTGGGGGGTTATGGCTCAAACCGTTTAGGAATTAGGGGCAAAAAAGGGGGAAAAACAAGGTTGTCCTGGTTAATGGACAAATACTTTAGTACAAAACATAATTTAAAGCAGTGTAAGGGAGATAAATCAAATACATCATTGAAATTATCTCCCTTACACTGCTTTTAAATTATGTATAAAGTAATGGTTAATGAACAATAAAGATAATCTAAAACAGTGTAAGGGAGGTAATCCAAATACAACGTTTTGGTTACTTCCCTTGCACTGCTTTTAAATTATGTTTAAAGAAATGCATATTTATAAAGGAAGACCAGTAAAAATATCTGCAAATGTTTTCATCTTTTTTTTTTACAAAAAAATCCATATGAAAGATTTGACACTATATTTTTATTAATTTTATTATAAAATAGATTAAGTTAGCACTATGGTAAATTTAAATGGGTAATTATGGTTGCCAACTCCATTGGAAATTTGAATTGACATTATGACCATATCTTGAGGGAAAGAATTTTTTTGGGGGAAAAAGGGGGGGGGGGATAAAAAGAAATTGTGGGGGCCAATTTTTTCTCATTTCAGATTTCAGAAATTAAAAAGAATTATTCTTCAAATATTATTTTTTTTTCAAATTTCAAATATTGAAAAATTTCAAGAAGTAATCTTTAATTGCACAGTATGGCGCATTAGATTTGTAAAATCTTTGATCACATTTATTTATTTGTTATGCCGAATCTAACAGTGTATTTAGATTTTTAATTTTGGGTCCAGTTTTCAAATTGGTCTACATTAATGTCCAAAGGGTCCAAAATTAAACTTTGTTTGATTTTAGCAAAAATTGATTATATGAGGTTCTTTGATATGCTGAATCTAAACATGTATTTAGATTTTTGATTTTTGGCCCAGTTTTCAAGTTGGTCCAAATTGGGGTCCAAAATTAAACTTTGTTTGATTTCAACAAAAATTGAATATATGGGGTTCTTTGATATGCTGAATCTAACCATGTATTTAGATTTTTTATTTGTGGACCCCGTCATCTAATTGGTTCATATTGAGGTCAAAAGGGTCCAAAATTAAACTTTGTTTGATTTCATCTAAAATTGAATTATTGGGGTTCTTTGATATTCCAAATCTAACCGTGTATTTAGGTTTTTAATTTTGGGTCCTGTTTTTTAAATTGGTCTACATTGAGGTCCAAAGGGTCCAAAATTAAACTTAGTTTGATTTTAACAAAAATTGAATTCTTGGGGTTCTTTGATTTGCTGAATCTAAACATGTGTTTAGATTTTTGATTATGGGCCCAGTTTTCAAGTTGGTCCAAGATAGGGTCCA